GAACCGACGAACATTTTTGACGTCATTGATTTGTTTCAGTCAATTTTTATTTGTTAAACAAGGAAGGCAAATGCTGGTGGCAAGTACAAACCCTGGCGAAACAAACTTTACCTATCTTGAACTGTTTCGGAAATATTGACAGTTGAAAATTATCATTTGACACTAACCTTGAATTTAATCCATGATTAAAAATTGCGCCTAAATTATTAATCTTCGGTTAAATTCAAAGTTAGTGTCAAATGATAGCTTATGGAAATCTAAGATAGGAATGTAAAAACAGTTTTTTTTCTAGAATTAACACTTTAGGTTTCACAGTCTGTCAAATATGCAAAAAGGTCAATTTTCAACTGTTATTTGTGTTTTTGGGGAAAAAAAAAATGAACATAGTGATGTTTTGGCTGTGCGCAGTCCCAGTGGCGTATCCAGCCTGTGGCTCTGGGGGGGGGGGCATTACCTGAAAGAAAATAAAGTCAATTTTGGCTCATTTGGCTTTTATTACGGAAATGTTTTCCGCTGGAAAACTTTGAAACTGGAGTATAATTTCACAACTAGTTTTTCAGGGAATATGCTGTATTCAGGACTCAAAAGTTTTCAAAACACACAGCAAAAGGAAGTTGCGCATTTGTAGTGACGTCACAAGGATATAATAGCCAATCCTTTTTGCTTATTGTTCGGATAATCGGAACAATTCTTTAGAAATCTTCTTTCTGTTTGTGCATATGTAATACTGTAGGTATACCTTTTATACATCGAGTTATAGCGAACGTGTCGCTCTAGAGTAACTCCAAAACACACAATTCAGATATTATTATTATTCTTTAATATTAACATAACCTAAAATGGCTTCTTGCACCCCCGCAGATTTGCTACATCATCAAGAGTGCGTTCAAGGACGGCAAAGCTAATGCCAAAACCTACTTTTCCCCTTCCACTGGTAATGCCAAACCACGTAGGTTGGAGCCGAACTCGAACGCAAAATGCCAATTCTGGCTTGGCTGTAGCCATTCCTGAACGCAGCCCAGGGGAAAAGGCGACTCGAGTGCTTAACGCACTTTTAAAAAGAACGTTCACGCTTTTGACATTGTGCAGCTCCGAATAACTCAACGGGTAAAAGGAATATAGTAAAAAAATATTTAATCACATGGTATAATTGTCATCTGTTATCTCCCAAACAGAACAGAATTAGTGCAGATGAAACAAAAATCAAAGCAATCAGAACTGGAACAATCAAAGATTTTTCTGTGACGGTCTCTTCATTGTGACGTCACCACACGCTGAATAATATCTTTAGTGACTGCCACTTCACTCTACTGCGCTACCTATGTTGAACGTCAAAAAACAATTGTTGATTTTTTTACAGAGCCGCCATGTTGAGACTATGATCGATTTTTGCGTAGTTCGAAAATAACCGAATATATGTCCTAATGGTGGCGTAGCTGTAACGGTCTAAGGTTGTCTAAGGTAACTTCACTGTACTTGTTGCGCCACCTGTTATGTTTTTTTTTTTGGAGGATTAAACTCATAACAGCGAAATTCGCTCTTTTTTGAAATGCTTCTAAAATTTGACGGTTTATGCGTGAATCAAACGTCAAGTTGTCGAAGCAATATCTAAAAATAGCGTATTTCGCGGTTGAGTACTAGGCTTTATCAATACACGGGGCGAGTACTCAAATCTGACATCGTTGACATGTATTCTAACCTCATAAAAATTTCAAAATGCCGGCTGGTTGGCAAAAGTCACGTGATTTGGATTCCCTAATTCTGAATTCTGACTTTATATAATAAGTTATTGTTCAAGTACAGGGTGTTTTTTTTATATATTGACACCCCAACTACAGTCTTCACCTTTACAAGTAGATGAAAGCTGTAAATACAGAAGTTGTAAAAAATTGAATGTCATAAATGTGAAATGTTACATGCTTTCAGCTTTTTTCAAATGGGATGCCCTATATTTGGTTCTATATTCTTGAAGAGCATAATTTCCCGATTCCAAAACTATACTCCTGGTCAAAATTATCGCACCACTGCTTATGGTACTTATGTGCAGTGGTGGTGCGATAATTTTGTCCAGGAGAATATATAGTTTGTTTATATTTGGTTGAGCCGTCCCCAACATATTTGTTTCAAGAAATTTTAAAAATACCATCAGAGAAACCAAGTACCTACCTCAAATTTTACCTGCAGCTTTCACCTGTATAGTTAGAATGGTTCACAAAATCAGTAGTAGGATAGTAGTTTTACAATTTTTGGAGCCGAATATATGAGAGACTGTTCAATCAAAAATAGACAAATTATTTATTACTGGAATGGGGGCATTGTGCTCTTCAAAAATATAGAATGAAATATAGGGCATCCCATTTGAAAAAAGCTGGAAGCATGCAAAGTTTCACATTTCTGACATTCAAATTTTGTTTCTAACCATGGTTTCTAAAAATTTTAGTCAAAACTGTACAAATTTTGTATTTGCACCTTTCTTCTACCTGCGAAGGTAAAGGCTGTAGGTGGGGTGTAAATATATAAAAAAAAACACCCTGTACAAATAAGTGGATTATTGCTGAACTTATGGGTGGACCTCTCAGCCATCTACTCACCAATATACTGTTGAACTATTCAAATAAGACACTCACCTGAAACTTGTAGTTTTTGAACTAATGGGAATAACTGACGTTTAAGTGAGTCAGGTTAGTATCGTACTTGAACAACGTATTAATGAATAGATGACTGCGGAACTCGCTGCGCTCGTCCCACAGAGGTCCACCCATAAATTAAACTTTTTGGTTGTATAGCATATAATCTTAGGAAGAAAATCAAAATGAGATTCACATTGTGAAAAATTAATTATGAATGGATATAGACTCTGGAATCTCAAATCTCAATCAAGTCAAGGTTATTCATGGAAGGAATGTTTTTTTTGAAGAAACTAAATAATTAAAATAACCAAAAGTTTATATAGATGATAATTCAGAACAACAGGAAAATAAAGAAGAAAAAACTGAACAAGAAACAGATGGAAATAAAGTGGAAGAAAATTTGAGAGCGACAGAAAAAGTTGGAGAAGTGAAACAAACAAATGAAATATCAAACATAAGAAGAAGTTCACGAAGATTACTAGACTATGATCTTGAAAATAACGAGTTCTATTTTTTTACAGCATTATCAACTGGAAACTTATTAGATGAAATGCCACAGACTTATGCAGATGGTGTAAGAATAGACAAAGGATGGAAAAATGCTATTAGCGAAGAACTTACAGTGTTGGATGAATGTAATACATGGGAACTAGTATTGCCATCTGAGAATGTCGAAATAATTGACTCAAGATGGGTTTTCTGTGGAAAAGTAGTGGATGGAAAAGTGAAAAAGAAAGCGCGATTAGTGGCTCGTGAATTTAAGGAGAGTGCATTGAGTGAAGAAGTATATGCACCTGTATGTCTAGTATAAGAATATTGTTGTCTTTATTCATTGAATATGATTTGTATGTAATTCAACTTGACGTGAAGTCAGCCTTTTTGAATGGAACTTTCGAAGACCCAGTTAATTGATAATACAGAATAGGGTACAGAATTGAGAAGGAGTATATTGTAGTTTGTAATCAAGTTCTTTCATTACACCCTTGTATATGGGCAATTCTGTTTCTGTAAAAAAATAATATACCTGTTATGTAATGTGGGTTTTGTCAATGTCACGAGATAGTTTTTGGGGGCTTGCCACTTTTGTTCAGGAAAAGTGAATAAAAAGTTAACGTAAAAGTTTAGATCTATTGTTTGATTGTAATCAGGAAGCTGCGTGGAGTTAAATTAAACTTGAATATCATCTTAGACCTAATAACACATACAACATGTTTCTAGCTACCAAAATAAATAAGCTGTCAAGCCGTAACCGAGTATCCGTCCGTAAAGCAGCTCCATTTCACTCCCTGAGACAACTCAATTTGTCCGAATCAAAACGAAATCCGCACTGGCTGCGGGTCCATAATCAAGGTCCGCGTCATTTCCCGGGGCCTTAAACGAAAGGTCCGTGAATTATGACGGTCATTTGTTTAGCGCGTCAACGGGGCAGGGCCTTTTTCGGGGTGCGGAAATCCGAAGAAGAAAAATAAAACGTGAGTGTGAGAGGCGGTCACGTACGACGCGACTTTGGGCTTTCACTCAGTCTAGGATGAGATACGATGGGATTTTCAAAGGCTTATTTTCTCTTTTTTTTTTTTTGGCTTCTAGGAAAGAGTTTGTGTGTGTATGTGAAAAATAGTTCAATCAGGCTTTCTGGTTTTTTTTTTTTCAATCAACTTGGAGTGCTCACACTAAACTTGTACACTGATGAAAAGGACCTATACTTATCTTCTAATAAGTATGTAATAATGCTTCAGTCAACTCTATATTTTCAACAATGACAAACTCTATACAAAATGACAACACTTCAAACTCTACCATTACCAGTCATATGGTAAAGGTAAAAGGTACAAAAATACCGAATGCTGAAGACAATTTTTTTTGCGTTTAGATCTTCTAAAAGTCATGGTGTTTTGTAGAATAGATGAATTCTGATCTTGTGTCTCCCTTTCCTCAGTAACATCATCCTTTTTTTTATTGTTATATTCTTCTTGTATAGTATTGCTATTATTCTGAATGTCTTCATCAGATTTTTCTTGTAGAGTAGTACTAGTGGTTTGAATGTCCTCATCTGTTACTTCTTGTATGGTCGAGTGAATATTATTATTGGTATTTTGGATAGCTCCATCTATATCTTCTTCCAAAAAAACTGCACGATAATTAATCGTGTTTTTGGGTACTTGTGAGATTGCAATATGGTCAACGTGTCTACGCCATATAGCCCCTTTCTTTCTGCAATGTGACCATATTCCTATTTTGTATTTTTCTCCGAATAGTTACGAACTCTAACCCTGTCGCCCACTTCAAATTTCCTAAAATTTTCTTCTTCAACTGTCGATTTCAAATTTTCTTTTCCTTGTAAAAGGTACAAAAATACCGGATGCTGAAGACATAACACCTTCTCTGACAAAATAACAAAATTGAAAATGACGTTTCAACCACACATTAAACGTCAATACTTGCCAATCAAAGTGAATTTGAAAAGTGCTCGGGGAAATTTCAATAATGATAATACTTGAACAATAATCTTAAAAGAAAAATGGAAGATATTGAACCCACAACATTCAGGAGACGCAGAACCTCATCAGTAAGTTCTGATAAAAAATGTTTTGATAAAAATAATGGAAACAATGAAAAATCAAAGCTACTTAGAAGAAGTTTGCAACTTGTAACAGTAATGGAAAAACCTGAATCCAATACGTCAAGAAGATTGAGACGATCAATTAGTATGGACGAATTGAACCATGGTCTTTCTGATCAATGCTTCACAGAGATACAACCGAAACAAACCAGCTCAAGATCTAGAAGGCACAGCTACTCAGTTGATGTCCATACTTCAACTAGTGCAAAAATTCTAGAAGCAAATTCATCCAGAAGGTACCACACACGCTTGTTTAGCATGGATCAATCAAACCATACTCTTGCTGAAGTACAAGCAAGAAAACAATGTACAAAAGTTGGATCCAATACGATCAAAAACGTTGATGAATTTGAAACTAAAGTAATTGAATCTAAGCCATCCAGCAGATGTTCATCATTTGTTACTGTCAAAGAGGTTAAGCCAAAAACAGACAAGTTTAGAAGACGCAGCAGTTCAAATCTATTGAGTCAAACTTTAACCAGCGAAAACTTGGATCAGCAAAGTATTATTCAAATGGAACAACTTGACTCCCATGCATCCAGAACGCGAAGAAGACATTCAATAAGTTTGGATAATTTACACCATGATGTTACTTATGAAAATATTCCCAATCTGGATGTTTCTTTTGCAATTGACGAAGATCAGAAAGCTACCAAAACACACAGACGCCGCTGGTCTAACAGGTTCACAGAAAGCTTCGCAATTGTTGATAGTGCAACATCGTTTGCCGAGATTTGCAAGCAAATTCGTACACTTCCAAACGAACTTCCAGAAAAAGAAATTATAAAATTGTACACTGATAAAACTGTTCCGAAAACGCGTAGAATGTTGGAGACTATTTCTGAAGACAAGCCCAAAATGACCCTTAGAAAGTTTAAAAGGTTTTTCAATTTCAACGAGAGTAACAATAGTGAGAAATACAAAAAAAGGCAGAAGAAAATCATCAAATACAATCTGTGGCAGAATCCGCATCAGGTTACCCATGCTCAGTTTCAAGCTAAAATGTTGGAGCTTGGTGTCAGATTTTGAATAATATTTGTATTTTTGTTCACATATTTGTTGAAATAAAGACTCAGAATGTGTGTTTGGTCAATTAATGATGTAATTTTTTCATAGCATGAGATAAATACTTAATACCATTACTGACAAGTATCTAGAATATAACTTTTTTGTCCATAAGTCGGTCAAAAACTATCCACTTGAGGAAAACCGCCTATTTAAAATATTATTTCTTAAAATCTTAACTTTTTAAAAAAAAACGTTTACTGAATAAAAGTAATTGTTGCAACCATGTATGCGCCCTCAAGTTTAGGATTGAACGAGCGCGCCACAGAAAACGAAGGTACCGAAACCGAAGAGGATACAAGAGAATACGCAACTAGACTACAGAACGAGCTGGACTGGTCCCTTAGAAAACGTGTCGCATGTCTGTAAATATTCATTATTCAATTTGCATTTTTATTTTGTATTAAAATTGATTGTTCAATCCAATTTGTTATTAGTGTATGTGTAAGGAGCGTTCACAGGTTAGTGGATTAAATGTTATTTTGCTTTTGAGAGTTCAATTTATGCAAGTTCCTATTATTTTGTCCATTTTTATGTATTTTTAGTTTGTTTATACCATTTTTTATAACATGTGCATTGTTCATGTATTTAAGAAAAATCGTTTCATGCTGTAAACAACGCCGATAAAGAAGTAAATTAAAACCTAAGAAATTATGTGCTGTTTTTTTGTGCTGAGATTTCGATTTTGTGGATTCAGAACGTGCATTAGGGCCTTGTTGAATTTACTAACATTTTCCTACCCTGACGAGAGAATATCCTAGCAAATTGACAATCAATCTAGAGATATTGGCTCAAAAACAACTATAGTTGTGAGTTTACGTAACCAGGGACCTCAGTACCTGCCACAGATGGGCTAACTAACCAAAAACTCTTCAGTATTGATTATAGGTAGTGTGTGTAATTGAAATTTTAGCGCAAAAACAGGGGCGGTACCTAATTTAAACTTTTATTGACTTAAATTATTGAATTATTGACTTAAAATTATTATTAAAATGACACAGTATGTTTCGATTTTGGAGGAATGTTAGATCGAGGGTTTCTCTGCCGTGCTCTTTCTCCTCGTTAGTTTCAGGATGAGAACGGTACGACTTACTTTAATAATAAGGTAGACGTTTCACAAATTTTTCGTTTCTTTTACATATCACAACTTCCCTAATATTTGCTATGTGAGGCGCATGTCCAGTAAGTGAAATTGAGTAAGTTTCCACAACTTAGGTCCTATTTGTTTTTTATTTCGTTTTTCAGAAGATTTGTTATTTAAATTGTTATGAAAATTCTCATCGTTCAATCTTACTGAACGAACCCGGGGTATGTTATACTACACACTCCTACTTTTCCTCCAAATTTCATGATGCTGAAATTATTTGCGACATTCAGTTTTTTCAAATTCATTTTATAGTACCTACAGTACTAATGCTTCCTTCTCTTTCCTTTCAGCTGGTGAAAATCAGTATTTCTGCAAAAGAATCGACTATTTTGCTCAAGAAGACTACAGTCCTGATCTCGAAGACTCAACACTAGTTATTCCATGTAAGTACTGGTTATTTTTTAATATTCCAAATACCTATTTATGGTTTCTAGATGTCGTTTCAAAATCTGCCATATTTTTCCTACTGGCCAATTGTATGATGATGGCAGCTTTTGTGTGCTGCATTTTGGGCCAGTGCGTCAGATACAGAGGAATACACACGTTTATATCCGGTTTACTTTTCATATTTACAGGTAACTAGTTGATTTAGAGTAAAACTCATATAATAATGATGATTTTTTTTTAGGGTTATTAATGCTCCTAGGATTAATAGTTTATATATCGGTGTTCAAATCGGAAGTAGGTAGCAAACTAAGGCCCCAATCCCAAATAAGGCCGCCACTGTTCGAGTACGAGTACGGGTACTCGTTGCTTTTGTACATTGTCGCACTGTTTTCCACGAAACTGTCTGGGGTCGGCTGTGTTTTTCTATTTATGTACAGGTAAGGCTTTTCGATTCATTAAATTCTAATCATATCATTAAAGGAGTCAAACTTTTAGGGTTCAATATCATTGGAAAAGAAAAGAATACGACGAACTGAGAAAAGGTAATAGGCCGCATTCGATAGCCAATTTACAAAGGATAATGGATAGTAGTACGCCGGTGGCGGTGGAGTATCCTTGCAGGAGGCATCCGTACTACTATATTAATTCGAATAGTACTATGACTTTTCCAAAAAGTCCAGCTAGAAATAGGTAATAACACTTCTTTATAAGTTTCTAGGCAAATTGTCTACAATGTTTCAATGTCCAGATTTATCGGGGCTTCAACCCTTCTAGGGGGCAAAAGATTATTGTTCCAGTTCAATGGGTATAACTTCATATTGGGAATAGGAAATGGTGAAACATTGTTTTTTCGGGATTAAAGAGGGTGGGGACTGAGACACAATGATTTTCAGTCAGTCATTGCGAATAAGATAAAAATGACTGGAGAACCATGAAGCATTCTTTATTTTCTTGTATGACGCTAGATGGGAACTTTACCCTTGATGAGCTGTTATACAAAACGTATTTCTCGCTCATATGTAAAAGAAGCTGCTCTACTTCTCAGCAGTAAAGCCAGAGTGACACGGTCGAAGTGCTTGGTCCAAGTGCACTTGGATGACAATTTGGACAAGTAAAGACAGGTTAACACGGTCCAAGTGTACTTGGATCAAATACCCTTGGATGCTGCGCGCGCCTCACTTGGATGATACTTGAATCGTATCAACTGTCTATCCAAGTCCAGTTGAATAGTTCCTAACATCCAAATAAGTAGGCTGGCTGTCAATTTACTTGGTCTAAGTGCACTTGGACTCTTGGACCGTGTCAGCCTGGTTTAAAACAAGTCCAGTTGGATAATACAGGCACTAACATCCAAGTAAGAGCAGACTGGCTGCCAACTTACTTGGTCCAAGCAACTTGAATGAAAACTTGGACCAAGTAAGTTGGACATGGACGATACTGGGATCGTATTAACTGTTAAAGCCAGGTTTACACGGTCCAAATGTACTTGGATCAAGTACCCTTGGATGTTGCGCGCGCCTCACTTGGACGATACTTGAATCCTATCAACTGTCTGTCCAAGTCCAGTTGACTGGCTGCCAACTTACTTGGTCCAAGCACAAGGACGAAAACTTGGACCAAGTAAGTTGGCAGCTAGGCTACCCACTTGGATTTGAAACCTATATCCAATTAAACTTGGAATAACAGTTAATACGATCCAAGTGAGAGCACTTGATCCAAATACAGTTTGACTGTGTAAACCTGTCCTAAGAGGCTGGTGAAGATGCCAACTCTTTACCATGTACTTTTAGTTTGACAAAAATACCTACGTAAATGTAATGATGATGTAATAATATTTTGTCTTAGATATCCACCACCTCCTAAAGAAGCATCCCACCACCACGAGTCGCCGTGCACCTTGCACCGATCTCGTTTCCACCAATCGACGCCCTCCCTCAAAGACGTCTCGACGTCCTTCTACAATTTTCCACCGCCTCCTACGATATCTTACCAGTTCGACGAGCATTTCAGCAACAGGGCGCCGTTGTCCCGTGACGTCACCGTCAACACGGTGTCGACGACGGCGGACGTTAATTTGGACGATTTGCCGGAACCGTACTTCGACGAGTACTCGCCGAATTTGCAACACGAGTTCGTCGCGTTCGATTTGGACGAACCTTTGCCGATTCGGGCGCAAAGTATTGTCAGTATAAGTTCGCGCGGTGGAAATTCGAGGAAGAATTACGAGAATGATACTATGAGAAGGACTACACCTGTGTAGAATTTGTGCTAGTATACCTTTGTTAATTTTTGAGTTAGAAATCGAACTTTTTTTCAAATAAGTAGGTAAAGTCCGTCGATTTTAATCTGATACTCCAAAGGAATGTGACATGTTTTTGCCATATGCTTCACCCTCTCGCTCCTCATACGGAAAGTGTCAGATTAAAAACGACGGACAATAGCTGAAAGAAGAAGAAACCCAGTGCCAATTTGTTTATATAAAACCATTGAAATAATTATGTATATTGTATATTGTTTATCTATATTGAAAAAAAAATGTTCTACATATCCTAAACGTTTAAATTCAGTTGATAATAGGCGAATTTTATATTTTTATACACATGTAGCACCAGAGCAGATCATGATAAACTTCATCAATCGGTGTTGAAAGCCTATATTCCACACTCAAGTAGATATTTATGTTGATTTTATATGAAAGCTGAGGCCCGGTTTATTCATCTTCAGATAAACTTGCTGGTAACTATCTGCAAGATAAATTTGTTCTCCGTGACACAGGATAGCCTATCCTCATAAGGCCTGTATTATATTTCAAATCTCAAGCCCCTCATCACACCAAAGTACCAATGATGACGTAGCAGCGTTGTTAGTAGTTGCGATTCTCGCCTTGACATAGAGCTTTTGCACCACATGCTATGATTCCGCTTGCATTTGCTTCATGCATACTTGGTTTCAGTACATTACCGAACTAATATTCTTTATAAAACAACCCTTTTTTTAGATCTCGTTTGCTTATTATGTTTAATCAAAATTAAATAATATTTTTTCAACATATTATGTAAATGTATATTCTAAACTGCGACCGCTGGTGCAAACAGCTAACCACAAAGTTGATGACGTCAGCAACGGTGCCACACCATATGACCTTGATTCCAAAAATCAAGGCTGATGAGCAATCCTGTAGTAGTGTGTAATATCCTTCGAATAAACCGGTCCCAAGAAATCTGAACCTAAACTCGATCGTTGTTATCTAAATAAAATTTTAAATGAAAGTATAATAGTGAAATGATTGTTAAATAGAATAAAAATTGAAAAAAACACATTAAAATGTCGCGTCGCGTGTAGATATATTATATTTATGAATGATGACGTTTTTATTTCCATGTTATTATTATAATGAAACTATATTCTAAATAAAACTTATACGGAATTTGGAAATTAATTGTTTTTCATTTTTCTACTTTCACCTAAGAGCGTGCGGAAAGTGCACTTTAGCGCACTTATTTGCAAGTGGAAAGTAGGACTTTACCGCATAGTGTGCCGTAAAAGAGACTTTTGGGTTGAGTTCGGCTTTGCACTCCACGGAGTATAGATATCGTGACGTCATCGTTTACCAAGTGTAAAGCCGAACTCAGCCTTGATGTTCATAATCAAAAATCCCATCTATTTCAGAAATTTCGAAAATGGCTTTTTTTGGAGAACTAGATGCTCATAGATAGAATTTTGTACCTAATGCATGCGGGAAGTATCACTTTCCGCATTTCTTAGGTAAATAAGCTAGGGACCCGGTCCGAAATGAAAAATCGGTTCCGTTCCAGTTCCGGTCCACAGCGTCATGACAAATATCGGTTCTGTTTAGTGATGCCGCAAGACGGGACGAGACGAGAATCTGCTCTTCTCTCGTCTCGTCTCGTTTCCTCCCGCCTCTCGTGAGTTTTGACGCATATTTAAGTTAATTTACCAAAAATTTCAAAAAGTTCCATTTTGGCATTTTTTGATTTTTTTTTTGGAATTTTTCGAAAATTTACATACGGAACAGATAGAGTGCTCGAAACAGACACAGAGCTCGTGCTTGTACCTACCACTAATTCCAAAAAATTCCATATATTTCCAAAAATTTACAAAAATGCCAAAAAAATCAAAAAACTGCAAAAAAAATCCATTTTGGCATTTTTGGAATTAGTGGTACATGCACGAGCACTGTAGGTACCTGTTTCGAGCACTCTAACTGTTCCGTTTGTAGAATTCCATAAAAATGCGAAAAAATGCCAAAAAATTCCATAAAACTCCATGAAATTCCAAAAAATGCCAAAACATTCCGAAAAAATCCATTTTAAGCATCTTTTGGAACTTTTAAGAATTTTTTGGAATTCTAAGTACGGAACAGTTAGAGTGCTCGGAACAGTAACCTAGTGATCGTGCTTGCACCACTTATTCCAAAAAATTCTAAATAATTCCAAAAAATGTCAAAAAAAATCCCCAAAAAAAAAATGCCGAAATAGTTATTTTTGTCACAAGTACCTAAAATGAAGTTTTTCAGGACGAATCATTGCTGTTTCCGGACGAGGCGTTAGCCGAGTCCAGAATAGCAGATGAGTCCTGAAAAACTTCATTAGGTAGGTACGTGTGACAAACACAATTTTTTGTCATACGCTTTTTAGAATTCTTCAGAACGCTAAAATTTGCAAAATTTCCTTAATTATTGAAATCATAAAGGTGCATCCAGAAAGTAAAAAGAAATCCTAAAAAGAAGCATTTTACGGACTTGAATGAGTCCGTAAAATAGCTGTTTTTCGGAGCGTATGACAAAAAATTCCATTTTGGTCGTTTCGTTACGGTTCCGGTTCTACGAGAAATATTTCGATCCAGTTCGGAGCAATAATTTCGGCAAGGTTGTTTGAGAGTACGTAGGTTGCCTGATAATTTTATGACGTCATCTGGGGTGCCTCAACATAATGCAAATCTCCATAAGGCACCCCAGATGCGTCATCAAGTTATTCATTACCAGAGGCAACTTATTAGTTTTAGGAATTTCGGTCTTACCGACATGGTTTTTCACAAATATCTAACACAAAAATTTATATTTCAGTTATGACGTCGGCAATGGTGGCACACCAATATGGCGGCGATTACCAAAAACGAGGCCGATAAGCACTCCTTAGAGTGTGTATTTATTCTCTTTGTTTCGAAACCACTCTGTACACGAATTTCGGATTCTACGCACAAATTTTAGGTTTTGCGCAGAATCGTGACGGTACAATGTGTAAGGTTACCTGCCATGTTGGATGTTGGACCAAACCATTGAGGTAGAATAATAAGGAGACGCTATCATCATTTGAATAGTGCAATAGAAAACGGCATCGGTAGGCGTGGCTAAGTGTGGGAACAATATGGCTACTTAAACAGAGCCGAACTAAATGGATTCTTTATAATTTTTATCTAAAACCGTAAAAAATCCAGATTACATCAAGAAGGAAAAAGTTGCTACAGAAACTTCATCATACTGAAACAAGAGATCCTTCCAAGACCCCAAATAGGAATTTTGGGCTTCAAAAATTTTTTGCATTTAAAAAATCTTCGTATGGAAAATGCGGCCCTGATGTAATTCTGACGCGTTGCTATGACAAAAGTGACAGAATCTCAGACAGAAGTGGATACGCTTGTTTCTCCTCATGTCGCCTCCTTATTATTCTACCTCAATGGACCAAACCTTAGAGCAGGTAAAGGTAAAGAGGAGTAGTAACCTGGATTTGGAAAATGAAGCCGTTTCTACTCCTTATGTCCGTAGGACAGCGTTTTCCTGCTCTAAGGACCAAACCTATTCCCTTGCAGTTTAGGCAATTTTTCATCGAGGTCTGCGGGTGACGTCATCACTATAAGATGTTGATAGTGACGTCACCCGCAGGCCCAGAATTCGATAGGGAGGAAGTTAGGAGAGTATGACGCCAAATTGCCAGTGATGACGTAGGCAGCGTGTCGTTTGCCTATTATAGTCATGTTCGGCATTGTCATCTTTTTTGTCGATTTGCTCTGAAATATTGACAAGCACGTGATTGGTAAATTGAAACCGTCTGATCCAGTCACGTGCCTGTCAAAATGTTGGGGCAAATCGACGAAAAAGATGACACACGGCTTTTGTTAATTAAAAAGGCTTGTTCATTTGTACTTGAAGTTATGGGACAAGTGAACGCCGATCAGATCAGCTGCTGAGATCTGCTTGAAGCAAGAAGAGCAGTACAAATGAACAGCCTAATAATTGAGTAATATTTTTCATCATAAATGTACATTCTCTACGAACGCTGGCGCAAACGGCTAACGACACCGTTGATGACGTCGCCAACGGTGCAACACTATGAACTAGATTCCAGAAATCGTGGCCGGTGAGCAATCCTGTAGTGGTGTGTAGTATCCTTGGTGTAACCTGCTAGCAGGGTTCAGAAATCCACGCTTTCCAAGTTGCCAACGCTCTGTTTTTTAGTGTCAAATTTATTACGATAAGATCAAGCAGCAAACAAACAAAAAAAGCCTAATTTATGAAATCTTGAAACCGAAAAATACCGGTATAAGAACCGATTAATTTATATCGGTTCTGGCTGCCTTGCAACATTTCAATAGCTGTTTACGGAAACTATGATCGAGTTAACCCGATCACAAGGATCACCAATCTCGACGTACGAAAAGGGATCTAGGATCAGTTCATTCTTGTACGGAAAGTGATGGGGTTGTTCGGTTCAGTATCATATGGTTGGATCTCGATCTCATCGACCTCAATGCATCGACCGGATAAAATGCGGGGTAAATAGGATTGGCAGCCGTCAGCTGTTTCTCTAAGGGCGGGTATTATAAAACTAATTTGAGAGTTAACTTAAAGTTAACTTCTGGAATTACATGTAATTCAAAAAGTTAACTTCAAGTTAACTGTCAAAGCAGTTTTATAATACCCACCCTAAAGCTTAGTACTCATAACTGCGAAATTCGCATTTGTTGCAGAAGCTAACTTTAAGTTAACTCTCAAAGTAGTTTTATAAAACTTGCCCTTAACCCAGTTTTTCAGTTGTTTGTTGTCTGTTGATTGTTATGCCTTTAAAATGAATGTGGCAGGCAACTGTTCGGAAATAAACTAGCTCCACCTAGATAGTTTACTAATCCTTGAACAGCTGATACTGATCGAACTGATCCTAGATCAGAGTTCAGAGTTTCCGTAAACAGCTTATGAAATATGGGTTTCGTTCCGGTTCCGGTCCGCAAAAAAAAGACGGTTCCGTTCCGGTTTTCGGTCAACTAGCCAGGGTATAGTGATCATAGATGGCGCCACAATAGAGCATTGAAGTGAACTGAAGAAAGTCTGGCCAACACTGTTTGAAAGGTTTAAGGTATAGCAGTGGTAAATATTATTCTATAAGAAAAATATTCTCAGACTCCTTTGTATGCAAAATGAACAGCCGAAGCCAAACTATTCAAGTAAAATTTTACCTATTTAATTGGATAGCCAGTTAATAGATGTCGCTAGCGTTGCGTTATAGATACAGTGTTATAGAGAACGAGAGCATTTGGCAACATTGCAACAATCGATTGTCAAAAAGTAATGACATTAAGCAGATTCCTTTATTTTCTAGTTTTGAAATTCCATGGTTTCGGAATTGAAATTTTTAATAATTGGTGGATATTTATTAATTATTGTTAATTGGCCCTAAAATAATCAATACAGGTAAACATTTTTGAATTACCTTATTTATATTATTCAAGTTAATAGTTGTCGAGGTTGCTGTGATTTCAAAGAGCAGCCAAATTCAAATTCAAAATTTTAAAGCCAGTCTTTTTTTCATTTCAAATAACTGAAATATTTTGAAATAGTATATTACATTACGAGTATAGAAAGTGACACATTTCACACGAGTGTATGAAAGACGCTTTCTCACGAGTGATGTACCTACACCATTTTTCCTAGGACCAAAAACCGATTTACACCAGTTTTCTCTTATTTTATTTCTTTTCATTTTCACCACGCGTGCTGAAAGTAGGTACTTTCAATTTGAAAGTACCTACTTTCTGCACGCTTGTGATATTTACCGCTTTCCAAAGAACCAGCTAGTGCGAATTTTGTCATTATTTTCGTATGTGGTCGTAGGAAAAAGGTGTTTTATTAAGAATATACCTACCTTATGCGAATTAGACTGGATATTTGCTATAGCAAGGATAAGAATTGATAAAAAGAAATTCCACTCCTTAATTTTGAATGAAAACTTTTAAAGTTTGTAACGAAAAAGTTGTTTTTCTAGTATCGTGCGTAAAGTAGGTACTTACTTAATGCACTACTCTTCAAAAGACGTAAAACTATAGGTATTTCACGCACTAGTGCGTAAAGTAATAATTCACTCTACACACACTAGTGTGGTGATGTGATATTTACTTTACACCCTAGATAGTAGATTGATGTGACGTAATAGTTACTTAGACACTTTTTGGGCGTTTTATATATTGTCAGTTCGGTAGTGGAATTTTTTTTTTTATGTTACATGTGTGTAAATAATCCCTTTTGAAATTTTATTACCCATGTGATTGTTGCACTTGCCTGTGGCTCGTGCGTGCGTCAAGGTTCACATTCGTGAAAAAATGGTTCACTTTACATACACTTGTTGCATAAATATAGCTATTACATACGATTTTATTATAATTACAATTTTTAGTAATTGGTATGTACGATCATCATCTGTTATACTTATTTGATATATTCCAGTCCTAAAGTTTCATCGTATTTTTTCACAGTTGCTCTCGGGTTGTTAAACTTTTCTCATCACTATATTCACCAGGATTTAGAGCTTTTTGAAATGTCAAGATGTCATAATGTTCCCCAATATTCTTTGCCGCATTTTGAGTGTTTTCAGATTTTTAAAACTCGAGTGCGCAGTTGGATGGCTCTTTGAAGTATAGGCATCAGGCACACTTGAAGCACAAAAGATAAATTTTACGTAATCGTTTAGCGCTTCGTTAGTGCTTCAATGTGCTTCAATCCCCAAATTAGCAACCCTAACATTTTCAGAAATATTTCGGATTTTTGAAATCACCTACTTACCTCACACACAGCAGGAATAAGGGAAGCACCAACGTTCAGTTACAGATAATCTCGCAGATAAATGGTTAGTGTTTCAATCCCAAAATTAGCAATTTTTCAATTTCCAGAGATGATATTCCGGTTTGCAGAAATTGCCTACTTAGTTCACACATATAGCAGGAACATTGGAAGCACCTACCAAAATCCCAAAGCGTATAGAATATAGATGGAGAAAAATTTCAGATTCAAATCACTATGTACCTTCGATCTACTAGTTCTTGTCCTGCGATCTGAGTGGTTCAAAAATTCATTACTGCTCAAAATGAGACACCTTTTTTTCCTTTCTCAAGGAATTTTTTGAAATATGGAGCAATCTCTAGAGCTAATCAGTTATAAGAGCTGAACTGCTCTACAGAACAACGATCTTCAAGAAAACTCGTGACTGATTGTTTTATTGATAGTTACACATTTATTCTTAAAAATAAACGCCTTTCTCCTGAATGTCACTATTTCAAAGAGCAGAAAGTGAAGTCATTTGTGTTGGAGTTTGATCCAGAAGATATCTACACGAAAAATGATTCCAAAATTTGGAAGTGTTGGTAAATCATCAAATTGAGAAGATGCGGAAAGGAGAGAAGACATGCACTGATCTATAACATTTGTGAGAAGATGAATATAACGGATGGTCATAAGAGAAACTAAGGCCCGGTTTATTCACGTATTGATAAACTATCAGGTATATATTATCTGACGGATAAAAAACGCAATTTATAATTCTATTGGATGGTCAGTTATACGTCGACCCATAGGACTATCGATGGGCTTTGTCTTGTAGATAGCTACCAGAACGTTTATCGGAAGAGGAGTAAACCGGCCTAAGCATTTAGTAACTACTCATATTTATAAGTAGTTCAGACCAGAGTTTATGCTGTTCATATTCCCGGCTCTCGACTCTGGTAGGGTGAAATCCACAGGCGGTGATTGCAAAAAGTCGAAATATCTCTGGAAGTGATGAGTCGTTAAAAGCTGATGAGATGGTGCATCATGAAGCAATAACGACTAACGAAGTATTAACCATTCATCTACAATTGAACGTTGGTGCTTTCCATATTCCTGCTGGGTGTGAAGTAAGCAGGCGATTTCTGAAAAACGGAATTTCTCTGAAAATATAAGGGTAGTTTATTTAAGAATTGAAGCATTAACCATTTATTTGTAACTGAACGTTAGTGCTTTCTTGTTCCTGCAGGGTGTGAAGTAAGCAGGCGATTTCTAAAAACTCAAACATCTCTGAAAATACAAGGGTTGCTAATTTGGGGATTGGAGCACATTGATGCAATAACGGAGCACTGATCATTCATCTGCTGTAACTGAACGTTGGTGCTTCCCTTGTTCCTGTTGGGTGTGAAGTAAGCAGGCGATTTAAAAAATCCGGAACATCTCCGAAAATACAAGGGTTGGTAATTTAGGGATTGAAACATTTTGAAGTAGCACTAGCAAAGCGCTAAACAAATACGTAAAATTTAACTTTTCAAGTGTTTCTGCCTACTCCACAAAGCCTATCTAATAGTTCCAGAATCCTCCAACAAAGTTTTTATTTTTCAAGCAATTCATCCTAATTTCACCTGTTGGTATGACGCAAAGTCAGTCAACTCCTGAGGAGGCAACTCAGGATGAAGCTAATGAAAGTTTCAATAGCTTAATGGTGAATATCGGAGTGGGAAGATATCAGACTGAAATATACAGCGACATAAATAATTCCCAAAAGGAATCAGTTCCAAAAGTAATCACAAGTGAGTATAAAAGAAAAACCTTCTCTAAGGGAAACTAGAATTTAACATTTTTTTAAGAAAAAGGAAACGAAATTGCCCATCAACACACACAAGAAGAAATTACTGAAAGTAAGAAAATTCCTATTGAAAATAATCTTGAAGAAACATTTAGTAGCCCTATTATAATACCATCAAAAAAAATTTTGAGGAATATTCCTTCAAACAAAAAAGTATACGATGCTGTAATATTAGATTCCAAGTCAACCGAAAAAGCCAAACGCAGGGTAACTTTTCATGATGTTAGTGGGGTGACGAATGAACAGCTCCCAGAAGAAACCGAAAGCCCTATAATAACTGGAAAAATACTAAAAAACGACTCAAAGGATATCTGGGATGAAACCATTAAATTGAACAAAAAAGTTCCAGCAAAAAAAATTAAAGAACCAAGTCCTCTGAATATAACTACGAGTAGAAAATGTTTGGATTTTTTTGAAAAAACCACAAAGAAATCCGATGAATTATGTAAACCAGGTACTGAATATGAAATATTTCTGAATGTCTTATTATTTGGTTTTAAAATTTTTTAGATAAAATTGCTCTTCAAGAAAAGGTAATAAGCTATCAGTAGCAAATAATTATTTTCACCAATCGATTAGTATACTACTCATACATAAATTAAATTTATATGATATGACAACATTTCAATAGAATAATAATTAGTTTACAATATTCACATTTGAAAAAAAACCGCACAAATTCCATATTTTATTAGGTAGGTATAAGCAATGTTTTTGTCATTATTTTTAAGAATCCACAACCTCTTTTGAACTACGATGTTAGTGAATCTGTTCAGGTTACAAAACGAAATATGAATCGAACAAGAACATCAGTAGAACAATTTGACATAGAAAAGTTGTTTGATAAAAAAATCGGTAACAGAAAGCTGAGTAATGGAGAAGTTTCTTTGCAAAAAAAGGTAAATTTGATTATTTTTAGTTTACCAATGTTTTTATAATTGTTTTTAAGACTCCATTACCTTACAATGGTAGCAGTGGTTCAGAAGACGACGAAGGCACAATTAAATTCCACGTCCAACAAGCTGAAGTACACGTGTCCGGCTACTTTGAGAAACCAACTCTAGAAAAGTTTGATAAAACTAGAGAACGTGAACAATTTGAAAGAATTGAAGACTTTGAAAACATGTCGCCAGAACCAGCAACTCCTAAGGATATGAATTCCTTGTTTGATACGCTCCGCAAAGACTATTTGCAGACCAAGAAAATAACCAAAGCAACTTCCAGGAGGTCTTACAATTCGGCTCGTTATTCTTATCGAGAACAGACAATGGGTAATTAATTGAATTATTACTACAGATATTAATTTCTTTACCCTATATATAATTATCTATTTTAATATAGATTACGACATGGAAATTCATATTGATAATGCTAAAGTGGATATGCCTACAAGGTAATTCTTAAGAATTTTGGGATTAACATAGTACAATATAATTTTTAATTTAGCCTGAAACCTACCAAAAGACGTCGCAAGTTGGATACATCCGTTAGGTAAGAGAAAAATACTGTCTTTTTACCAAACTTGAAAAAATGATGAAATAAGAAATTCTCTAACAAGTGTGGATCAAGCAAAAACTCTACACGAAGTTTGTTAGGTGAGAAAAATGGTTCTACGAGTGTAGAATTTTGTATTCCACGTGTGTTTTAGACATAATATTATGGGGGTACTTTTTTCAACACTATCAGATCAAAACATTGAGTATTATTAAACCGAAATACAGTAAAACCCCGATTATCCGAGTTGCAATTATCCGAGCTCTGGATTAACCGAGCCAGTCTTAAGACCCAAAAATCCAGATTATCCGAGGTATGCACGTCCATACTCTGTATTAACCGAGTTTCTAGAATATACAGGGATTTTTTTTATATATTGACACCCCACCTACAGCCTTTACCCTTACAGGCAGAAGAAAGATGTAAATACAAAAGTTGTACGGTTTTGGCTGAATGTTTAGAAATCATGGTCAGAAACAAAATTTGAATGTCAGAAATGTGAAATTTTGCATGCTTCCAGCTTTTTTCAAATAAGATGCCCTGTATTTCATTATATATTCTTGAAGAGCATAATGCTCCAATTCCCGATTATATAAAGTCAGAATTTGTAAGATTATCCACTTTTCGTCAATTTGTACTAGTAATATAATGTGACAAGTTATTCAAGTACAAACGAGTGGATTGTTGCGGAACTTATGGGTGGACCTCTGCGGGACGAGCGGAGCGAGTTCCGTAGCCATCTATTCATCAATAATATGTTGTTTAATTACGATACTAACCTGACTCACTTAAATGTGAGTTATTTTCATTAGTTTGAAAACTACACGTTTCAGGTGAATGTCTTACTTGTACAGTTCAACAGTATATTGGTGAGGAGATGGCTGCATAAGTTCTGCAATAATCCACTCATTTGTACTTGAACAATAACTTATTATATAAAGTCGAAATTTGTAAGATTATCCACTTTTTGTCAATTTGCCTTTTAACGGGAATTAGTAATGTTACTTTACCAAACTCAAACTAGTAATCAGAGCTGGGCAAAGCACTCGAGAAAAGTGCTTGGAGCACCAAGCACCAAGCCCTTAGGAAAAGGAATTGCCAGCATCAAGCACTAAGCACTTCGGAAATTCTTAGTGCTTGCAATTACCAATTACCAAGGAAAGTAATTGCACAATTCAATTACCAAGCACCAATTACTCAAAAAGTGCTTGAAATCATTGTTGATTACTTGCAGGTGCTTGCAAGCACTTTTTTCTCAAATGAATTACCAATTACCAAGCACTACTTAGCCAAATGCTTCCAATTTATTTTTTAAATAAAGATGTTGCTGAATTGGGGTCTAGGGAGAAAGCAATTTGAAACGTTATAAGTTTTAACGTTTTTGGTTGATGTTGATATGATGATAGTTATAATCAAATGATCAAACCAAAGTTTTCTGTTCTTAATTTATAACTAGCCTTCGTCTCTTCACTCTACATACACTACACTAAACTGTATCATCGAATATTAACATTATTATAACTAAAGATAAAGACTTTATTAAACTGTGGTAGTATAGTGTATAGTGTTAGTGAATAGTGTTGCATATTGCATATTGTCTTTGCCAGCGAGGTGCGAGACTCAACTATAAAGCTGGCTTCCCACGGCCCGTGATATCGCAAGCCGGGTCGCGCTTACACGCGCCAACGCTTCATAGGAAAGGCGTCGCAGCCCGGCTTGCGATATCACGGGAAGTGGGAAACCACCTTAACACAACACAAATGTTTCCATATTGCCGACGCCGAGACGGTCTTCAACCAGCCAATCACATTAATGCTTATGCTGCGTCAAGTTGTTGCCAAGGACTTGATTTTTAGTGCTTGCAAGCCTTTAGAGTGCTTGCAAGCCTTTTAAGTGCTTGCAAGCACTTTAAATGGCTTGAAATGCGAAAATCAATTACCAATTACCAAGCACTTTTTATAGAGGGCTTCGATTACCAATTACCGAGCACTGTATTTTAAAAGTGCTTGCAAGCACTGTGCTCGAAGCACTATTGTGCTTGAAGCACTTTTTCAAGCACTTTCAAGGCAATTACTGCCCAGCTCTGCTAGTAATATAATGTGACAAATTATTCAAGTACAAACGAGTGGATTGTTGTGAAACTTATGGGTGGACCTCTGCGGGACGAGCGCAGCGAGTTCCGCAGCCATCTATTCATCAATATGTTGTGTAATTACAATACTAATCTGTCTTACTCAAATGTGAGTTATTCTCATTAGTTTAAAAAGTACACGTTTCAGGTGGCGTGTCTTATTTGACCAGTTCAATAGTATATTGGTGAGTAGATGGCTGCGGAACTCGCTGCGCTCGTCCCGCAGAGGTCCACCCATAAGTTCCGCACAGTGGCGTATCCAGCCTGAGGCTCTGGGGGGGGGGGGGGGCAAACCCAGATGCCCGCCAAAGCCAGAAATAATTTTTTTGAGGTGCCACCCCCAAAAGTCGTTAAAATTACACATCTTGATGGCATGCCTGCGCGCCGCCACTGAAAAAATGTTTGGGCTGTTAGGGTGATTATTTATTTTTCTGAGAAATCGACTTTCAAGCAACAAGTCATATAACACAAAATACAAAATTAAACTAAAGTTAAATTCAGAGGTGTGTAATACATACCTACAAAAAAATAGTTATTTTCCGCAAAGTGATACTTTCCGGCATGAGAAAGCAGTTAGACAGACGAACGACCCGGAGTTCGGATAAGCTTCCAGTGCGGGAAAGACACTTTGCGAATAATACTTTTTCTTCGAGTGTTTGAAGATTTGCATAGGATTCAGAGAAGCTTTACCTAATCTTCTTAAATGTTTCCAGATGCTTAAAACTGATAATTTTCTCTCTTAGTTCAATGTGTTGTGTTTTCAATTTTTTTCAGTGATCAGATTGACTTTATTTGCAACAGTGGTTGTGCTGGCGAGGTTTACTTAAAATTTGTTTTTCCTACCAAATTTTGAGACTAAACTTAAAAGGATGATGTTTTTTCATGTGACTTTTTAAATTAGTTTTACCTTATTATACAATGATTTTACATAGCAACAAGTGCAGCATCTGCTTTGTCCATTGGTGTCTGATTTATTCTTCCCGCAACACCATTATTAAGTTGGGAAGTATATGGAGGAATATAACTTACTGTCCAACTTTTATAACCGGATACTCCAAAGGAATATGAGTTGTAGGCTCCACACACCAACGGTCACCTGACCTCACACCCGTTTTTGGGTTCCTCATATGGAAAGTGTCAAATGAAAAAAGCTAAATAAGATTACCTGAATGCGTTTCTTGGAACAAAAATAACATCGAGCCCTTTTTTCTGAATATAAGTTTATCCAGAAACCCACAAAACATTGAGAAATCGAGTGTAAATCACTGATCTCGTATAAATACCGTAATTATGCTAAACAAAAATGAGTGCGCAAAGAGTTTTCGTGAGCAAAGATCAACTTTGTGCACGTAAATGAGTGTGCAAAATAATAACTTTGCACACATGAGTAGAAAAAATATTTTTTTCTTATTTGAGATATTTTTAAGAAATAAAAGGAAAAAAAGGTTGTTGCTCTGGCGGTTGTGGGGGGCGATTGCCCCCTTTGCCCCCCTGGATACGCCACTGGTTCCGCAATAATCCACTTATTTGTAATAATTCCAGCATGGGATGCCCTATATTTCATTCTATATTCTTGAAGAGCACAATGCCCCAATCTATACAGGGTGTCCCACGGTGGATGGCGTATTAGACGTTTATGGAGAACTAAAAGCGGATCATTTTGAAAATTTGGCAACCGGGATAAACGACCATGATCTACACTTTAAAAATATTTTTGACCATGCGGTGTTGCCGCTTCTACTCTAAACTAGTGGCAACATCACTATTTTAAATGGAACACCCCGTATTAAATTGCATATTTGGATTCTACGTAAAATTCTAAGCAGATTTCATGTGATATACCCTATACCTAAGTTCAACTGTTTTGGAAATATTGACAGTTGAAAATTGACTTTTTGCAACTTTGACAGGCTGTAGAACCTGAACGGTTAATTTTAGAGGAAAACCGATTTTACATTCTCATCTTAGATTTTTATAAACTATCATTTGACACCAACTTAGAATTAAATCCATGATTAAAAATTTCAGTTAAATTTAATCTCTGGTTAAGTTCAAAGTTGGTGTTAAATGATATTTTATCAAAATTAACCAATTAGGTTTTACAGCCTGTCAAAGTTGCAAAAAGTCAATTTTCAACTGTCAATATTTCCAAAACAGTTGAACTTAGGTATAGGGTATATCACATGAAATCTGCTCAGAATTTTACGTAGAATCCAAATATGCAATTTAATATGGGGTGTTCCATTTAAAATAGTGATGTTGCCACTAGTTTAGAGTGGAAGCGGCAACACTGCATGGTCAAAAATATTTTTAAAGTGTAGATCATGGTCGTTTATCCCGGTTGCCAAATTTTCGAAATGATCCGCTTTTTAGTTCTCCATAAACGTCTAATACGCCATCCACCGTGGGACACCCTGTATATTTTGCTAACTTTTGCTTTGCTTCAAAAATTTAGCTCAGCAAAAAATGAAAAAGTGGGACTTCACGATGTAGCTAAGGCGATTCATGAGCTTACGGATAGTATGACTGCTCTGCAAAATGTTTTTGTAAGTACCTCCAATTTGAAGTTGTAATTTGCAGAAGCCCATTATTATACGCATTCTGAATACTTCACAAGATTCTTTTCAGATGTCATGCGAAAAACTAGCTTTGCCAGAACAGTTTGAAAGCCCCATAGTTGGAAAGATGGACGTGGTCGGAAATGAAGATGAACCCACCTTGGAAATGCAGATAGGTAGGTAATTACTATGGAACATATTTCATCCAATGATTATCGTATTTATTTTCTAGATCAAGAAACTTTTAGCTCAGCTTTACATTTGATTCGCTCAGGTGTAGAAATGGTTTCCTCAGGTGTAGCTTCGCTAGCATCAAATATAGATAATAAAAATAAAGCATAAAAAGGAGACATAATTGCTTCAATTGTAATATATTTATTGCTTGTATTGTTAATAGTTTTTTAATGTTTAATTTATTGTTTGTTTGAAATTATGTTTATTCAGTTTTTCAATCAAATTGTTGAAACGTATTTGTTATAACTTCCTACTAGTAGGTAGATATATTATTGTAGAATATAGGTAGGTATAGTTTTTCCAAAGTCTAGTGACAGTGCATTTCTTATGGAAATTTTCAGTGACCAGTCAGCCACCAGTTGGTTCCTTGTTCCAATTGAGTTTGGAAATACTATACCTATGTAATTATTGTAATTCATATAGGTATTTTATAGCATTAAGCATTATCTAGTGCAATTATTGTAATTTAGGTCTTTTGCTAGCTCCTATTAATTTCTTAACAATTTTCATTAAAACTGTAGTATGTATTTGAATTCTAATTTCAAATGGTTTTTATTTTATGCTATTAGACACTTTAAGCAGGTCCTGAATTTCAAACGTATATCCGTATCCGCATCGATCTGCGCAAGCGCAGAATAGATACGGTGGTTTCGTTGCGTTGTCCGTATCATTACGGGCCTAGCCTTGTATCCGTATCCGAAAACGTATCTCAATCATTTGACACTATTGAAAGATGTCCTTGTTAAGCCCATTCGACAATGGACTTAACGTAACCGTAATCGTCGAAATCGGACGAGTAGTTTAGGAGTTACGGGTGTAGCAATATTTCTGTAACAACACTAGATTTGTTGTAGCAACAAGTCGTTAGTGGGTTTAAGGCAAGATTCAAATTAATTATTGTTGTAGCAACTCGGAAGAAAAGTGTAGCAATACACTACTCGTTTTTGTGTAGCAACAAGTCATTCGTGGAAAAGTTTTTGTTCAGAGCAAGAGTTTGTTGAATTTATGTAATTATGTAGCAACACGAAAAAAAAAGTGTAGTAACACAATCGTTGGGAGTAGTTTTTAGTAGGTTTAGAGCAAGATTGTTCTATGTAGCAAAGTTTCAAAAAAAGTGTAGCAACACAAGCAAAAGTGCAGCAACACGAGCGAAAGTATAACAACAAGTCGTTTTGGGGGTAGTTTTTTAGGGTGAGAATTTATGTAGCAACATATAGCAACACTTGTTATATGAAAATGTATTGAATTCGTTTGTAGCAACATTTGGTAAAAAAACTAGTTTCCCGTCGGGTTTGGAATTCGAATTTTACATTTTCTCGACTTTTGATTGGTTTGGGAATTTGAATTTTGATTATTCTCGGCTTTTGATTGGCTTTTTTTCTGAATTTTCCCGGCTTTTGATTGGTTTAGGAATTCAATTTTAATCATTCCCGGCTCTTAATTGGCTTCCAAAGTCAGTCTTTGAATTTTCCTTACTCTTAATTGAGCTTAAAATTTAAATTTTAAACATTTCCGGCTCATGATTGGTTCAGAAATTGATTTTTTGATTATTCCCGGCTCTTGATTGGCTTCAAATTTTGAATGTTCCCGGCTCTTGATTGGCTTGAAATTTTGAATGTTCCCGGCTCTTGATTGACTTAAAATTAAAATTTTAAATATTTTCCCGACTTTTGATTTGGTTCAAGATTCAAAATTTGAATATTCCTGGCTCTTGATTGGCTAAAAAATTCAAATTTCAAGATCAAGAGCTTAAGAATAATCAAAATTTGAAATTTGAACCCAATCAAGAGCAGGGAAAATTCAAAAATTGACTTTGGAAGCCAATCAAGAACTGGGAATATTTAAAATTTGAATTTCTGAGCCAATCAAGAGCCGAGAAAATTCAAAGATTAACTTTGGAAGCCAATCAAGAGCCGGGAATATTCGAAGTTTGAATTTCTAATAGCCAATCAAGAGCCGGGAATAATCACAGTTTGAATTTTAAACTCAATAAGGAGCTGAGAAAATTCAAAAATTTACTTTGGATTCCAATCAAGAGCCAGAAATATTCAAAATTTGAATTTTTAAGCCAATCAAGAGCCAGGAATATTCGGGTTTGGAATTCGAATGATGCATTTTCCCGGCTTTTGATTGGTTTAGAAATTTGAATTTTGATTATTCCCGGCTTTTGATTGGCTTATTTCTGAATTTTCCAGGCTTTTGACTGGTTTAGGAATTCAATTTTAATCATTCTCGGGTCTTGGACTGGCTTAGAAATTCAAATTTTGAATATTCCCGGCTCTTGATTGGCTTCCAAAGCCAGTTTTTGAATTTTCCTTACTCTTATAATTGAGTTTGAAATTTAAATTTTAAACATTCCCGGCTCATGATTGGTTTAGAAATTTGTTTTTTGATTATTCCCGGCTCTTGATTAGCCTCAAATTTTGAATATTCCCGGCTCTTGATTGGCTTAGAAATTCAAATTTTTAATATTTCCGGCTCTTGATTCGTTTCCAAAATCAATTTTCGAATTTTCCCGACTCTTGATTGGGTTCAAGATTCAAATTTTGAATATTCCTGGCTCTTGATTGGTTCTGAAATTCAAGTTTTGAATATTCGCGGCTCATGATTTGTTTAGAAATTGAATTTTTGATTATTCCCGGCTTTTGATTGACTTTAAATTTTGAATATTCCCGACTCTTGATTGAATTAGAATTTCATACTTTGAATATTCCCGGTTCTTATTTGAAATTCAAATTTTAAACCCGATCAAGAGCCCAGAAAAATCAAAATTTGAAATTTGAACCCAATATGAAGAGCCGGGAAAATAAAAAAATTGACTTTTGAAACCAATCAAGAACTGGGAATATTCAAAATTTGAATTTCTGAGCCAATCAAGAACCGAGAATATTCAAAATATAAAGCCAATCAAGAACCGAGAAAATTCAAAAATCAACTTTGGAAGCCAATCAAGAGCCGGGAATATTCAAAGTTGAATTTCTAAGCCAATCAAGAGCCAGGAAATAATCACAGTTTGAATTTTAAACTCAAACAGGAGCTGGGAAAATTCAAAAATTGAGTTTGGATTCCAATCAAGAGCCAGAAACATTCAAAATTTGAATTTTTAAGCCAATCAAGAGTCAGGAATATTCAAAATTTGTAGCCGATCAAAAGCCCGGAATAATCAAAAATTCAATTTCTAAACCAACCATGAGTAGGAAATATCCAAAATTTGAATTTCAGAATCAATCAAGAGCCAGGAATAATCAAAATTTGAATTTTGAACCTAATCAAGAGTAAGGAAAATTCAAAAACTGTTTTTGGAAACCAATCAAGAGCTGAGAATATTTAAAATTTGAATTTCTAAACCAATCAAGAGCCGGAAATATTTAAAATTTGAAGCCAATCAAGAGCCGGAAATAATCAAAAATTCAATTTCTAAACTAATCATGATCCAAGAATATTCAAAATTTGAATTTCCGAGTCAATCAAAGCCAGGAATAATTAAAATTTGAATTTTAAACCCAATCAAGAGCCGGGAAAATTCAAAAATAAGCTAATCAAGAGCCGGGAATAATCAAAAATTCGATTTCTAAACTAATTATGAGCGGGAAATATTCAAAATTTGAATTTCATAGCCAATTAAATGCCAAGAATAATAATAAAGTGTCTATTATTACACTGACTTGTAGCATTTGGAGCAGTGTAGCAGTGACAAGCTGGCAACAATGCACTACAGCCAATCCCCTCTTTTTTTGTGGCAGTTCCCGGGCATTTACTTTAACATAACCCTAATTATTTAGAATAAATAAACAAGAGTGGAGAGTGGGTTGTTTGATGTGTATTTATTCAAGTCTCAGTCAAAGTGAAATCTGGCTTGAATCTCCAGAAGATCAAAATATGGACGAAACTCAAAATACAACAGCAGAAGCTCGAAATGAAGAAGACATATTTTCCATATTGGTAGCCACCGATATTCATATGGGCTATGCCGAAAAGGACCCAATAAGATGTAAGATAATTGAAAATCATCCATACTTTCTGTGCTACAATCTAATTCTCTTTTAGCCAAAGATACATTTGTTACATTTGAAGAAATCCTCCAGGTTGCCCAAGAGCGAAATGTGGATTTTCTTCTACTCGGTGGTGATTTGTTTCACGACAGCCAACCATCAACTTATTGTCTATACAAGTGCACAGAACTTTTAAAGAGGTAACTAATTGAGTCATAGGCAACTATATTCTAATAAATTGTCCCTCTTTAAGATACTGTTTAGGTGACAGACCAATAACAATGGAATACCTCTCTGACCCATCTCTTAATTTTTCCTTTGCAAACACTGATAGTGTAAATTATGAAGACCCAAATCTCAATGTTGGAATACCTGTATTCTCCATACACGGCAACCATGATGATCCAACAGGAGAACAACAAATATCTGCTCTCAATCTTATCTCTTCAGCTGGTCTAGTAAACTATTTTGGAAAACACACAAATTTCAATTCGGTTGAAGTAGAACCAATTTTACTAAAAAAAGGTCAAACTCATTTAGCCTTATACGGGTTGTCTCATATAAAAGATGAAAGACTAGGCAGGATGTTTCTGGACAAAAATGTTTCTTTTTTGACCCCTCAAGGCGATGACTGGTTCAATCTAATGGTGATTCATCAAAATCGTGCTAGTAGAGGTGTCAAAAGCTTTATACCTGACAAAAGCCTACCAGAAATGATTGATTTAGTTATATGGGGCCACGAACATAATTGTTTAATTGAACCAGTACAGGCTGGAAATAATGTGTTTATTTCGCAACCTGGAAGTTCAGTGGCCACATCTCTGAGCCAAGGGGAGTCCATTCCAAAACACATTGGACTATTGCAAATTTACAAAAAAGAGTTCAATATGACACCAATACCATTGAAAACTGTTAGACCTTTTATTTATAGAGAAATTTTACTTAGAGATTTTGAAACTCTGAGACAAGAGTATGGAGAAAATGAAGTAGATTCTGTGGCAAATCAAGCTTTAGCTATAAAGGAGGTCGAAAAAGTGATTGAAGAAATGATTCAAGAAGCTAAAGATTTAGGTCGTAAGGGTAATATGTTACCATTACTCAGGCTTCATGTGGGCTACAAAGACGAAGGCCAAGTATTTAACGCCATCAGATTTGGTCAGAAATATCAGGACAAAGTAGCCAACCCTAAGGATGTTATCAAATTCAGAAATCACATGCGAACATCCAATACAAGAACTGGTGACAAAGAAGATAAAGAGTTTATGGCCGAAACTGTAAACTTACCAAACAGGGTTGAAGATTTAGTGTTGCAGTATTTTGAAACAAACGATGTGCAGTTGAAATGTCTTAATTTGAGGGCTTTCAATGAGTCTGTGATGAAGTGTATTGACTCCAATCAACCTGATGCACCCATTGAAGTCTGCAAGTAAGAATTTGCCTATGTTAATTATTATGTCTACAATCACAATGTTTGTTTTTGCTTTGAAACAGTATGGAATAAAATGTTGTAGGTCACATATTCTGTGAAAAATTCTGAACTTTGTAATCAAATTTATTTACATGCATGTATTAACTGGAAAGGGCAATTTCCTATAAGATTAATAGGTTCGTGTAGGTTTAAAAAAATCTTCATGACCTTTCTGAATATCTGGTTCTTTTGGCCAAACGAAGTCATCAAGGGATTTTTTTTAGAAATTTCACATACTTAAATCTTTTTTTTTCTCCCAGATGAATTATCCTTCTTATATACCAGCCAATCATAGAAAACTACGTGATATTTTCCGATTTCAATGTGAATATTCAGCTGATCAATATTATGGTTTTTGTATTTGGGATTACTCGAGGGGTTCATCACTCCCCGAAATCGTGTCACAAATTCGTCCAAAATCCATTGCGAAATCCTTCCGAAATCCACAAAATCACTCCGAAATCCGCCAAAATCCCTCAGAAATCTTTCCGCAGTCCCAAAAATCCCTCGTACTTAATTAGCCCAAAATTCATAAATCGGTCAACGCAGCCGTTTTTCAGTTTATACTAATACACTTTCGAATATACTTATAAGATAAGTAATAACAGTCTAAAATCAAATTAAAATATTTGTGAAATCACCTAAGATTCTCCGAAGCAAAGTCACCTGAAATCCTTCGAAATCACCAGAAATCCTTCGAAATCAACCCAAATAGGGTTGTATTTATTTTTATTTAAGTGTATTTAAATAGATTCAAAGATACCACCCTCCCAAATTTGTGCAAACAATTTTTCATGCTACCTGCAAATTCCTCCAAATTGCTTGCAAATTCCCGTTACAAATTCCATAAAAATCACCAAAATTGTGTGTGATAGGAAATGTGTTTTTCTTTTTTTTTATGCTCAGTGTTAAAACCAATAAATTCACCCAAATTCTCATACATTCCTCTAATTTCCTGAAAATTTCCTCAAGCTCCCACATATTCATCCAAATTCCCCACAAATTCCTCTAAATTCCCCACAGTTTTGGCAAAGTATTCCTAGGTGGTTTGCACCTTGAAGGTGAACGTTCACAAGGAAATTTTATTTTTTTTCCTATTAAATTTCAATCTTTTACACACTTTTATCAAAAAGGAAATAAAACATCCTTCAATGTTGTTTTGTGAAGCTCGAATTTTTCCAAAATGACATTGAACCACATTTTACCTCAGATCTTTGTTAATTTCAATCCGATCTTAACGTAATTAGGCTTAAAATGAAGCCAATTAAATCCTTTATAAACCTCTATTAGGTATTTTCAATGCAGCTTCACATCTTTGTTAATTTCAATCCTATCTCAACCTAATAAGGTTTGAAATGAAGCCAATTAAATAGTCCACAAATCTTTGGTGAATAATTTCAATCACAGTTTCTATGGAGTGAACCACCCCCCTCTCGGAATTTTTGCAAAAAAATCCTTAAACTTCTCGCAAAATTTCTCCAAAGTTCCCAAAAATTCCTTCATACTGTTCGCAAATTCCCTGCTTATGCCTATCACAAATTCCCTGAAAATCCACAAAAATTTTCGTGATAAAAAAAGTATTTTTCTATTTTTATTACGCTCAGTGTTGAAACCAATAATTGCCCAATTTCCATAAATTCCTCCAAATGCCCCACAAATTCCCCTAAATTCCCCAAAGTTTTGGCAAAGAATTCCCAGGTGGTTTGCCCCTTGGATTCAAATGTATTTATTTGTATTTAAATATAATTTAATGTGTAATTAGATATTTTAGTAAATACATATTTTCAATTTGTGGGGCAGACTTGAATTCGGCCACAAACCAGGTAGCTGCAGTAATCCTACCCTTGAAAACCCAACATTTTGTCCATAAAAAGTATCTTTGATGGTGTTGATAACACATATTCACAGTTTCATCAACATAAACTACAAAATTTAGCGTCTCTAAATATAATATGAAACAGCAATTCATGGGTAAAGCCGTATACAGGGTGTCCCACGGTGGATGGCGTATTAGACGTTTATGGAGAACCAAAAAGCGGATCATTTCGAAAATTTGGCAACCGGGATAAACAACCATGATCTACACTTTAAAAATATTTTTGTTTATGCGGTGTTGCCGCTTCTACTCTAAACTAGTGGTAACGTCTCTATTTTAAATGGAACACCCTGTATGTGATTACATATTTGGATTCTAAGTAAAATTCTGAGCAGATTTCATGTGATATACCCTATACCTAAGTTCAACTGTTTCGGAAATATTGACAGTTGAAAATTTACTTTTTGCAACTTTGACAGGCTGTTAAAGCTGAACGGTTAATTTTAGAGGAAAACTGATTTTACATTCCTATCTTAGATTTTTACAAGCTATCATTTGACACCAACTTTGAATAAAATCCATGATAAAAAAATTCCAGTTAAATTTATTCTCCGGTTAAGTTCAAAGTTGGTGTCAAATGATAGTTTATGAAAATCTAAGATAGGAATGTAAAATCGGTTTTTCTCTAAAATTAATCGTTTAGGTTTTACAGCCTGTCAAAGTGGCATAAAGTCAATTTTCAACTGTCAATATTTCCAAAACAGTTGAACTTAGGTATAGGGTATATCACATAAAATCTGCTCAGAATTTAACGTAGAATGCAAATATGCAATCACATACAGGGTGTTCCATTAAAAATAGCGATGTTGCCACTAGTTTAGAGTAGAAGCGGCAACACCGCATAAACAAAAATATTTTTAAAGTGTAGATTATGGTCGTTTGTCCCGGTTGTCAAATTTTCAAAATGATCCGCTTTTTAGTTCTCCGTTAACGTCTAATACGCCATCCACCGTGGGACACCCTGTATATTACAATAATTAATACACATACATATACTACAATACCTATATAATATTAGGTAGACATATTATTCATATGAAAGAAAATTAGCTGCAAATACCCAATGATTTGTTGTAAATCAATTCAGCAATTTGGAAGTAACTCAAAATGTACTTAGAGTACAAGTGAAGAGTACTCCCACTGATGAACCAACCAAACCAATAGGCTGACACCAAGCTCACTTAATATTTCTTTCAAATCATCTTCCAATAAGCAATTCACGACGACTCCAACGAGAAACTAATTTGGAGTTTCTAGCTTTGTAAGAGGTAGATCAGTTGATTTATCTATCTCGGTACCTGTACCGATTTGCATCATAAAATAGCCACCTCACCTACCTGATAACCGATTTGGTCGAATTCAACCATCCTAGAATTTCCACCCTTCCACTTATTTCGGAACAGGTAAGTTTTATGGACGAATTCAAGTCACTTCCCCCTTGGGATAAAATAAAAACCCACTACCTCTACCTAACATTTTTAATAAACTCCTGTACTTCAACTTTGCAAGCAACTATTTGTGTAACCCTCACTCAAGTGCAGTAATAAGAATGTCTATAATATCTCACTTGCAGCATAAAATAACCTTTTTCGTATTCATATTTCCAGTTACTTAACTAAAGATGCAATCAAGAAATTGGAAGAAGAAGCAATTGAAGAGGAAAATGTTGAAGCCTTCATCATCGAAAATAATACAAAACAACATGATGTCTCTTTGGTAAGGACAACTAACTATTGAAACTGTTTGTAAGGGAGTGAATTTTTTCAGTTCATTGATTACTTAGAAAGCTCTATTTCATATAGTGTTTTCTGACTGACATTCTATAGGTCTTCATGTTGGCAACAGTTGAGGAACCAAATTTCTACCTCCAGGCATTGAATTTTGTACTTTGATTGTACAGAAATATTAATAAAAGACCCTTTGCAAGATATGAAAAATTTACTCCCCACAATGTTTCTCATTTCTATCCAACCCCACTCATTCTAACATTATTTGGTGTATAAAATAATCATTTCAGGTGGATAAAATTCTAGAAAACAAGTTGGGCAAAAAGCCAGTAGCCAGACGACAGGAAATGGAGATAGACTCTGGTTCAGATGACGATGTGTCTCCCGTGAAAGGCAATGATACCACTGCCAGTACTGCTCGTGGTACAAGACCTGCTAGGGGACCTGGATCTAGAGGAGGTAAGAACCAAAATATTGTCTATGTACACTGTTTGTGTGTAATTTTCAACCATTCTGAAATATACATAATGGGTGGTATGAATAAAAACGAAGTACATGCTACTACTACAAGTATTAGTATATTTTTCGAAGTATTTACTTCACAAAGAAGCATTTACTTATTTCCGGTAGTGTCGAAATGTAGTATCTACTTCGTTCTGGAGTAAATACTACGTAGAACATGCTAATACTTATAGTAGTAGCAAGTACTTCGTTTTTATTCATACCACCCAATATTTTTCAATGCTTCTACAATATATTGAATTTTTGTTAGGTCGTGGTTCTAGAGGAGGTAGAGGCAGTAGAGCCAGAGGAAAGGCAAACCCCCTATTTTAAAGGAAAAACCCCTTCATTTCGTTTAATATTATTAGGAGAATGTAATATTTTTCTTTGTTAGTGTTATTTACTTACATTTACAATGTATTATTTTTTTTTTATACCTAGAGATTAACAGTTACTTTGAATTACACCATTGATTTGTTACACTCCCTGTGTGATACTATTTTTCAATAAAACATAATTAAATATTTATCGTTTTATTGAATTAATGTACAAAATAAATAATACTGACATCCAGTACAATACTGAAACATTTAACCAAAAAAAACAAATTAATTATTAATGTCATGATTATAGAGAGTAGTAAAATTTCTATCAATTTTCGAGTGTAAAATGCTCTAATTGTGCCTAAATCTACGTGTTTTCAGAATTGAATGTGGAATGTTTCCGAAGTATTACAGAGCTGTGATTATCACATGCGATTTCCTTCAATTCCACAGTTCTAGATAAGCTGCTATCAAACTCAAACGTCAGCAAATTTTCTTGTTCTTCTGGAATAATGGCGCCTGAAAAACATACACAAACATTAAGTATAAAAAACAAAAACTTTGTTTTAAAAAAAATATATTATATTGAAAACAAAATCTCTAGGAATTGGGACAATGTCAATTACCTTCTTCAATCATATGTTCAAGTTTAGTCTTGCAATTGAAATAAACAAAATCTTCAGACATTACTCCTTGGAACACTGCAACCACTTCCAAACGGGCATTCAGAAAATATAAAGGCTGCCGCCTAGTGGAAAATTCATTTATCAGAGCCGCAATACCTTTGGCTGCTGTAAAATCAGCCCCTGGAACAATAATTGTTAGGTTTTCAAAGTAAATGCCATTTTTATGAATTTACCTAGAATAAATTGGCAATCAATGACTACTGGTAGATTTTTAGAAGCCACTCCTGCCCGCGCTATACTGGTTTTTATGAAATCGATTGCAGGGAAATATAAGGCGTTGCCTGGTGTTATTAGAATGTAGTCTTTTCTTCCTGGAGTCTGAAAATGAATCATTGAGAATATATATTGACTAAACCAACCACAATTCTAACCGTGCATTTTTCTACATGAACTCCAGGCCTTGCTGAAGGATACAACAAAAACACAATGTTAATGCCAACCCCGACTAAAATTCCATACTCCACCCCAATAACCAGGCAAACTATAAAAGTGGCAAACGCTGAAACTAGGTCCTTTTTACTCGATCGCCACATTGGCTTGATAACTTCATATTCAATCATAAAAATGACGGCGCAGACTATGACTGAGCCTAGGGAGGCTTTTGGAATGTAGGCGAAATAGGGGGTTAGAAATGCTAGGGCTAGAAGAACCATCACTCCTGTAATAACGCCTCCAAAGGAGGTTTGCACACCACTGGCATGGTTCACTGCGGATCTGGAAAACGATCCAGTGACTGGCATGGATGAGAAGAAGGAACCCAGGATATTACAAAATGAAAGTGTTAACAATTCTTGAGTTGCATCTATTATTTCACCACTAGCTGGAAAATATTATTTTATTACATAAATTGGTCAATTATTATTCTTACCAAAAGCTTTTGCAATAGCCACATTTCCTAGCACAGCAATAATGGGAACCAGAAATACAGAGCTTCCCAAATCACTCAACATATCCGGAAATGTTTTGGTACTGTTGTTCAGCATAGTGGTAAAAGGGGGCACCTTGAATTCAGGCAATCCAGATTTAACATTTCCAGTGAGCCTAAATGGTGACCCTCCTCCGTAGGCTTCATATAGATAAGCTGCAGTACTGCATAGTATTACAACCAGGGCGTTACGTGACGTGGAAATTAACCATAAGGTGTAGTTAAGGGTGCTTTGGGTTTTTGTTGGTTTGGTGCCTTTTTTGTGGACTTTTAAGTCTTTTAGTTTCTAGAAAAAAAAATACATAATTATTCACTTTAAAGGGAAGCTTCAAGAAATAAGTTTTTATAGACTTTTGAATTCTTACCCTTAATAGTAAAAGCGCTACAATACATCCAACCCCAAGGCCAAAATCAGTCAATCTAGTCAAATGTATATTCTGCACAACTTTGGTCATGGTCTCAAAAAACTGATTGGACTTTATAGGAATGCCTAGCAGGCTGCCCAATTGAGAGCTACCGATTATCACAGACGTCGCAGAAGTAAATCCTACTGTTACCGGTATGGAAATAAAATCTACCAGAACACCTAAATGTAAAACAGCCATTATCAGCTGAACAACTCCTGTAAGGAAGCATAATAGTATGGCGTAGTCAGAATTTCTTCCTATTACTTGTTGGTAGGTCATGAGGGCCATAAGGGCAGTGGGTCCTATGGTTATGTCTTTTATACTGCCGAAAATTGTGTATATAAAACAACCAGCAAAGGCCGAGTATAAACCATACTAAAACAAAAAGAGTCAATAATTGTTCATAGTTAAACGAGGATCTTTTACTTGTGGTTCTAAACCTCCCAAGGTGGCATAAGCCAAGGCTTGTGGCATCACTGTGAGACCAACTGTGAAACCGGCGATGCAGTCGCTGATTAGTTTTTTGGTAGTGTATTGGGGAGCCCATCGCAAAATCGGTACTCTCGTTTTGGCAAAGGATTTAAGTGATTTTAGGGTGGGCATTTTAAAGGAATCAGATCTAGAACAAAAATAAACATAGATGTAATTGGCAATACAATATGAATCTCTAGTGTAAATTTGATATTCTTACCCACACACATTATTTGCGAAAACTTTCATTTTACTAGCCAAACAGAAAACCTAACATTAAATCAAAGTGGAACAATCATTTTTATCTAGTATTTGTCTGTTCAAACATAATTAAAAATACCTTTGTAGGTATCTATAAATACTGTTATATCGAAATTAAAAGGATAAAGTTTTTATTATTTGCACAAACAAGAATTAAAAATATTGACATTTTTAACATCTTAGTACTATATATAGTACGACTAGACTTTATATTGCAGCAATTAAAATGTGTAGATGATAATTCAATAAAACACGGAAATTTAGGCCAATTATACTTAAATTTACTCACCTACAAAGCAATGAGAAAAATCCGTTTAATATAAATCTAGATTTCTGCTAATTTGTACTTATGAAATCGTTGACCCCGTGAAAGTCATCTCACATACATATCTGCGAGTTCTTCACGATGAAATTTCTTCTTTGATATTAAATGGCAGGCTGCCTGCTAAGGGGGAAAAAATGTATTGGTAATTAATTAGCTATTGATTCATCAATTATTTCTAGTTTTGATTAGAGGGTTGAAAATCAATGTCAGATTTGGACGAAATTGCAAATGTTTGAATTATTGGGAAAAAGTATTAAAAGTCCATGATTTTTTCTCTCTTACCCAACAATGAGTCTTAATCCAGACAATTCAGCACAAGTTAAACAATTAGATAAATCAGACTTCGTTAAGAACCATTTAGTAACAAATGTGCGCCCCACCACGTATTTCCTTTAAATATTTGTGTTACTCTCCAATAAACTGGTCGTTGTTTTTTTTTTCTATTGATAATTTATAATAGTAAATCTGCCCATAAAATCGGATTTTGCGATCTTGACATATAAGGCAATTCAATTTTCAAGCAAAAAATCCGTCATGGAACGAATTTAATGTGAATAAGTTTTATATAGTGGACCCAAAATCCTATAGTAATTCAAAGCTTCTGCATTGTGCAATGTGTAAAATCAAACTCATGTGGAAATGATTGACAATGCTACCAAAATTGGGTCATAGTGAATTTGTGCTGTTTTTTGGTACCTATTCTCTGATTGAAAAGTATTGAGCTCGAGGTCTCTCAGTGAGGCAAAATCAAGAAGACATATCCAACAATAATTTTTGTGAGTGGTGAATATTATAGGAGTTTATTAGATTTATGTTGCCTTGCCAAATATCTATATTTTTTAAAAACATCTCGAAAAACATTTAATTCATTTAATTGAAAAAAAGTCCTTGATCTAGTAAATAATAACAAATAAAACCTATTTTACATAATATACAGAATATATTCAATGATTTAACCCATATATAAGATTCTTTTCACCTTCTCAGGTTTGTTGCATAACAAATATTGTTTAAAAAAATTAATTGATTATACGGTTCATTAGATTTTGAAGTGGGGGAATTTAATTTAAATAAAATACAGAGAGTAAAACCGTAAAACCAAAATGGAATGCTAAGTGAGTTAATAAATGTTGCACTCACTTGGTATGTTTGTTGAATTTTGTTTTAGTTAAGACACTTTCTGATTCTGTTTTAGGTTTTAATGAAAACAAATAAATATGTGAGTTGAATAATTTGATAAAAAACAAAACAGCTTATACTTATCTGCTCAAAGGATTATTATTTGGAAAGCATAAATACCTAGTTTACAGATTAACAATGAAAACTGACCTGACAAAAATATTTAGAGTATATGTTTTTCAAAATAGATGGAAAGCCATTAGCATGGGTTTTTCCCAAAAATATTGATAAGAATCAGCCAAATTAATTTACCTTGAAAGACATGTTTGTTGGATTTAAAACTGGTACTGTCAAGTAAGAGTCTACCAATAAGGTAGTAGAGGTAAGTACTTGTCTTGGAATCCACCCTCTATTTCTAGTGTTTTTTACTCTTTAGTAGCCCCAAACATCAAATCAATAATTAGATTTTTTGCCTATGGCATGAAAGTTTATGCAAATCTTTTATTCTATCCAGCTTTACAACTGTTAATTTAAGATCAAAAAACTGTAAAAAAGTGTGTTCTTTTCAATGGTTTTGCTTTAACGTGAAGTTTCCCTACCCACATACTAAAAATACAGCCTCAGTGGTTAAAATAAGAAACACAGATTCAAAGATTGTGAAAGGGGCAAGTTCATTTGTGTATAATTTGCAGAAGATCTACTATTGCTCTACAGTATACAGCAAAAGATCAGGTCTATAAACCTAGCAGTCCCAAGGTGGAAAAAAACTTCGAGATCTATATGATAATTAGGTGCTTTTTAGGTGCTAATTGGGGCCTCTAATTAAAAATTAGGTGCTCCTCTGATTTTTGAGAAAATCAAAAAAAAAAACTAAGGGATTGCTAGGTTTATGAGAGCTAGTAGTCCCCTATAGTAAAAAATATTTTTTCTACTACCGTGCGTAAAGTAATCACTTTACGCACTATTCAGAAGATGTAAAATTTCACTTCACGCACTAGTGCGTAAAGTAATTGACTTCACACACTAGTGCGTAAAGTAATGTCAATGACAGATGTCAACACTGTCAATTTGGCATTTTTCTGGTAAATTACTTCACACGTAAAGTGAAAATTCTTCACGCACTAGTGCGTAAAGTATTTGTCCAAATTTATTTTTTTACATATATTTGATTGGTAGTAGAAAAAAATTTGTATGCAATACGTGCATAAAGCACCTTTTTTCACTCATGTGATTCAGTCAAAATTCACATTCGTGAAAAAAGGTTCACTTTACACACTTGTTGCATAAATAACTATTTCCAAAATTTTCTTTTGTATCAGAATCAGGTGCTTTTTAGGTATTCTTAAGTAGTCGAAGAAAAAATAGAATTGATTAATTATTAACTGAGTTACAGATTTTTTTTTAATTATTAGGGGACTGCTGGCTTTACGTTTACATGTTGGTGTGTCAGAATGGAAAAAAAACTTCGGGATCTATATAATAATTAGGTGCTTTTTAGGTGCTCATTAAGGGCTCTAATTAAAAATTAGGTGCTCCTCTAGTTTTTGAGATAATCAAAAAAAACTAAGGAATTGCAAAATTTATGAAAGCTAGTAGTCCCCTATAGTGAAAAATATTTTTCCAAAATTTTCTTTTGTACCAGAATTAGGTGCTTTTTAGGTGCTCCTTAATAGTCGAAGAAAAAATAGAATTGATTAATTATTAACTGAGTTACAGATTTTTTTTTAATTATTAGGGGACTGCTGGCTTGACGTTTACTTGTTGGTGTGTCAGAATGGCAAAAAAACTTTGGGATCTATATAATAATTAGGTGCTTTTTAGGTGCTAATTAGGGCCACTAATTAAAAATTAGGTGCTTCTTTAGTTTTTGAGAAAATCAAGAAAAACTAAGGGACTACTAGGTTTATGAATGCTAGCAGCCCCTATAGTAAATTTTTATTTATTTTTTGTATCAGAATTAGGTGCTATTTAAGTGCTCCTAAATAGTCGAAGAAAAAATATAATTGATTAATTATTAACTGAGTTACAGATTTTTTTTAATTATTAAGGGACTGCTGGCTTTACGTTGACATGTTGGTGTGTCAGAATGGAAAAAAAATTTGGGGTTTACAGTGTCATTACTTAAGTGTGCAACATATGGGATTTTATTTACACAAGGCCAAAAGTTGGTGCATGTCTGATAATCATATTAGGTGCACTTAGAATGGTTGCAAGTTAAACTGCATACAGGGTAGCTCAAACAATATCAAAAATTGTCCTGTAAAAGTACCCTTATTTTAGAGAATTCAGCAAAATGTTATAAGTAGAGAAAAATTGTTTGGATTTTAAAAGTTATGATGCCTAAATAACCAAAAACATAGCCTGCTAGGATTTTTTTTTTTTTTTTTTTTTTCGAAAAAAATCTATAATTTCTATATTTTTTTTTATTTTTTATTTTCCGCCCTTAATACTTTCAAAAATGAATTAAAATCAAATCAATTTTTACATAACTTTGTTCAAATTCAAGCATATTTGTAAAATTAACTTAGATTTTTCAATTTTTTATGGAATCACAAAATTCATGTTTGTTGCAATGATATTCAACACAACTTTAAAATGTCGCAATTTTTTTTTTTAACAAGTTAAAACATTACTAATGATAATATGCATATTAAAAAAACTCTCCCTAAAGTGCAGAAGTTTTATTTTATTTAAGTAAATATTACTACAATTTTGATATTTTTTGAGCTACCCTGTATGCTGTTTGACTGCAACCATTCTAAGTGCACCGTGCACCTAATATGATTATCAGACATGCACCAACTTTTGGCCTTGTTTATATTTTGATTGTGCTATTACCAAAAAAAAAAATTCCCATATGTTGCACACTTTAAGTAATGGACACTGCATATCCCGAAGTTTTTTTTCCATTCTGACACACCAACATGTAAACGTAAAGCCAGCAGTCTCCTAGTAATTAAAAAAAAAATCTGTAACTCAGTTAATAATTAATCAATTTCTATTTTTTTTTTTCGACTATTTAGGGAGCACCTGAAAAAGCACCTAATTCTGATACAAAAAGAAAATTTTGGAAAAATATTTTTTACTATAAAGCCAGCAGTCTCCTAATAATTAAAAAAAAAATCTGTAACTTAGTTAATAATTAATCAATTCTATTTTTTCTTCACACCAACATGTAAACGTAAAGCCAGCAGTCCCCTAATAATTAAAAAAAAATCTGTAACTTAGTTAATAATTAATCAATTCTATTTTTTCTTGGACTAATTTAGGAGCACCTAAAAAGCACCTAATTCTGATACAAAGAAAAAAATTTGAAAAAAAATATTTTTTACTATAAGGGACTGCTAGCTTCTATAAAACCTAGCAGTCCCCTTAGTTTTTTCTGATTTTCTAAGAAACTAAAGGAGCACCTAATTTTTAATTAGAGGCCCTAATTAGCACCTAATTATTATATAGTTCCCGAAGTTTTTTTTTCACCTTGGGACTGCTAGGTTTATGGACCTCAAAAGATCTACTATTAAGTATGCTCTTTTCAGTGATCTTGCTTTAGCATGAAGTTTCCCTACCCACATACTAAAAATACAGCCACAGTTGTGAAAATAAAAAACACAGATTCCAAGATTGTGAAAAGGGCAAGTTGATTTATGTATAATTTGCAGAAGATCTACTTTTGCGCTCTATAGTATACAGCAGAAAATCTACTATTGGTCTACATTATACAGCAGAGTGATTTTGCTTTAATATGAAGGTTTCCTACCCACATACTAAAAATACAGCCTCAGTGGTTGAAATAAGAAACACTCAAAAAATTTAGAAGGATGTTTTGAGATGAATGAAGTCATTTCTGACCTGGGATCGGACCAAATGGGTTTCAAAATAGAATTTGACCTAGAACACATCTTAACAGGGGATAGAACAGTCAAATATAATTACAAAAAATGCAACCTAGAGAAGATTAATACAGACCTAATCAAATACATAAACCAGCAAGCACAGTCAATAATAACCACAAACCAAATCACAGACTTTAGCAACAAAGTATCTGAAATTATTACACAAAATACTCCGCTTATAAAAAATCAAAACTTTTCTTATCCTCTACCACCATTCATAGTCAGATTAATTAAGGAAAAAAGGAGAATGTTAAGGGAATACTATGCCAGGCCAGATCCAGAAATAAAAACATTACCAAATTTGGTAAAGATATTCACTACAAATACAAAAACAATTCATGGCTTCAAACCTGCCAGGAGATAAATGAAGAACAAGACAAAAATTTTTATACAAAAATACGTAAATTGACACGCTACAAGGTCTCCTTGGTAGTTCCAGACTTGGAAGAAAATGACATCACATATTCTACGGATCAAGAAAAAGTAAAAAAGTTCCACGATTACTATGAGCAACATTTCAATCAGACCGACCATCCTGACTTTGAAAAGGACAATAAAGTATTTATCAATAGATGGTACGGAGAATTTTTCAACGAACAACTAGAAATGAATCAGCCTAAAGAAGAACTTGACCCAAATGAATATTATAAAATAATTCATTCAGAAAAAGATAGCGCACTAGAATCAGACAACATTCCGTAGACTGTGGTAAAGCAGTTTGAAGTTGCAGTCCACGAGTATATCATGGAAATTCTTGAATACTGTCTCAACAAAAAATGTTTTCCAGGGATATGGAAAAAAGGTATCATAATTAATATACCAAAACCACATAAGGACCATAAACGTCCCAAAAATTATAGACCGATTGCATTACTTCCTGTTATAGGAAAAATATATGAAAAAATAATACGAATCGGCCTTGCAAACATAGTAAATGAAAAAATCCGAACACATCAATTCGGTTTCAAAGCAAAACATTCTACAATCCATCAGCTAACCATATTAGCCTCCAACATCGAAACAGCTAAACATCAGAACATGAAGTCAGCAGCTCTTTTCTTGGATATGGAAAAGGCATTCGACAGTGTCTCCTATACAAACTGTATATCTTGGAAGTTCCTGAGCACCTCATAAAAAATCGAAAGTTTATCACCTTTCAATGCTATTTGATAGGGAAAGGTGAAAATGTACCTGCACCTGTGGACATCGGATTGTGAACAGGATATAGCTTGAACACAATACTCAGAAAAAACTAACGCAATTAACAGAGCAAAGCATTTTAGAGGATTATCCTAAAAGAACCACGGAATTAACTTCAGAATGGCCACAAAAATTTACAAATCAATCTGTAGACCTCTTCTACAATATCCTTTTTAATCTTAGACCACCGTATCAAAAAAACATAAAAACAGCAGAAACTTGAGTTCTTCGAGCAATAACCAGAATGCGACATCCTCAAAACTCACTGTTCAATCCAAGAAATGAATTGCTCTATCAGAGGACATGAATCGAACCAATCCATCAGAGCCTCCACCAGCTCAGCAAGAAATTTGTTTTAAAACCACATAACATGGAGATCCTAGAGCCACTATGTAGAGCAAGAGAAAACAGAATTTCAAGACACAGTTTCCCCATACTCACAACAATTGAGAAGCTTCAACAGTTACAGTTACAAAACCCCATTTAATTTAAATTTTTAAATTATATTATTATTATTATTTTTTATTTTTTTTTGTTACGCAAAAGTAATATTCTTAGTTATACAACATTTTGTAAATATTATATGTCATTGTAAAATTTGGCTGAAGGACTTTGGTCGATGGCCTTTTGGGAAACTAATAAAATTCTTAATAATAATAATAATAAGAAACACAGATTCCAAAATTGTGAAAAGGGCAAGTTCATTTGTATATAATTTGCAGAAGATCTACTTTGCCCTCTATAGTAGGTATAGAGCAGAAGATCTACTATTTAGTGTGTTCTTTTCAGTGGTTTTGCTTATACATGAAGTTACCCTACCAACATACTAAAAATACATCCTCAGTGGTTGAAATAAGAAACAAAGATTCAAAGATTGTGAAAAGGGAAAGTCCATTTGTATATAATTTGCAGAATATCTCCTTTTGCTCTCTACAGTATACAACAGATCTACTATTGCTCTACAGTATACAGCAAAAGATCTACTATTAAGTGTGCTCTTTTCAGTGATTTTGTTTCAACATGAAGTTTCCCTACACACATACTAAAGCCTCAGTGGTTCAAATAAGAAACAAAGATTCAGAGATTATGGAAAGAGGAAGTTCATTTGTGTATAATTTGCAGAAGATCTACTATTGCTCTACAGTATACAGCAGAAGATCTACTATTTGTTCTCTTTTCAGTGATCTTTTTTTAGCATGAAGTTTCCCTCCCACCTACTGAAAATACAACTTCAGTGGTTAAAATAAGAAACACAGATTCCAAGTTTGTGAAAAGGGCAAGTTCATTTGTGTATAATTTGCATGAGATCTGTTGCTCTACAGTATACAGCAGAAGATCTACTATTGTTTTACAGTATACAGCAGAAGATCTACTATTGTTTTACAGTATACTGCAGAAGATCTACTATTGCTCTACAAAACAAATCCCATTCTCAAGTTATTTCTTATATCTTACGAGTGAATATAAAACAAATATACATAGGTACTTACCAAATTGTATATTCTCAACCCCGTTCTCAACCAAACACAGACTTTACGGTTTCAGAAAGATTTACTTCTTAACAAACAATATATAGGACGATTCTTAAAACTGGCTTTTGTATAGTATAAAAGGTATTTGAGGTATTTAAATAAACTATTAACTATTTTACAAATAAAATTAAAATCACAACTGAGTAGTCACTGCTTCAATTTCACCATTACCGAGCTGAGCATCATTTTTTCCTAGAAATGAAATTCAAATTATGGGTCAAGATAGGTAATTAATTAGTATACAATAATAGCATTAATTATTGATAATAAAATTGTTTCCCAAAAATTTTAAATTTAAAGAGCCCAGCAGGGTTTGTTTTTGTTGATGTGGAAAAAGTCTAAAGGAAAAGCAAAAAAGTGAGGTTATGTTTCCCTATTTTCGGGGCACCCCACAAAAAAATGTTGTCTCTCTCTAGTCGATATGTTGAAAAAGGACAATAAAAATTTGGGCCAAACATAGCGTTTTCTTTTTGTAAGTTAAGGCCTACTTAAACCCGTTAATTTCTATTTTTCAAATTGAGGAGTATTTCACTTACGAGCGTGCGTTAAAGTGCACTTTACCGCACTTATTTGCTAGTAGAAAGTAGCATTATACCGCATACTGTGCGGTGAAGTAGTTAGACTTTTTATAGTTGATCATAGGCAGAGCTGTCAGAGGTAGGTACCTACTTCAAGAAAAATACTTGAAATTGTACTTCAAGTTCTTATAAGTACTTATTTACTTGAAGTACAGTGGATAAACGGTTCTTATACTTGGTACCTGAACTCTGAACTATTTTTAACAATGTACTTTGCATTGTACTTAAGGCCGAATTCATAATCGTTCCTTGAGTCTTCCTTCCTTGAAGGTCGTGAGTTTAGAATGGACACTTGCTACTATTTTAAAAGTTAATCATGTTAATTCTAAACGTTCAAGGCTTCCTTAAGGTCTGAGAAAACTTCAAGGAGCGACTATCAATTTGGCCCTTAATTTCATCAAGTAGGTACAAGGACTTGAAGTACGTTGAAAAGTACTTCGAGCTCATGGAAGTAGGTACTGTTTGTTTCACGAGAATTTGTACCTTTGCCTACAGTGGCTAAATAAACCTTTACATACAGTGGCGACAATAGAGGTCCCGCCGCCATCTTGTTCCCAACCTCTTGTTACTTTCAAATATTATATAGGGTTTAAATGGACATCTATCATAAAAAATTGAAATCGACGTATTTGATGACCATTATAAGGTCCATCAAATAAGTTGTTTTCCATGATTTATGATGGATGTTCACCTAAATCCCATATATATTCATATTTAAAAGTAACAAGAGGTCGGGAACAAGATGGCGGCGCTTGAAATAAATTAATGACGTCGAAAACGTCCGTTGATTCTTGAAACCAAAAGTCATGAATACACAAGGTTGTTTAAAAAAGGGAGGTTGCCTGATAACTTTTATGACGTCATCTGTATGCCTAAACACAAATCTCCATAAGGCATCCCAGATGTGTTATCAAGTTACCCATTCAGACAACATTATTAACTTTAGGAACCTTGATGAATACAATACAAAATCTGAACGCTATTGAATTTATACAGGGTGTCCACTTAGGGCGATATCGGAAGATATCTCCTTACAGGGTGATGCAAGAAAAAAAATTAAATTACAAAGTTGTTTGATACTCTAATATGCATTAGATAAAAATATTTTAGAATACACAAGTTGCTCTGTTTATGGGGTATGCGACAGAACTTTGTTATTTTGAATGGAACACCCTGTATGTTATTGCATATTTCGATTCTACGTAAAATTCTGAGCAGATTTTTTCATGTAATATACCCTATTCTTAAGTTCAATTGTTTTGGAAATATTGACAGTTGAAAATTGACTTTCTGAAACTTTGACAGGCTGTGAAACCTAAACGGTTAATTTTAGATGGAAACCAATTTTACATTCCTGTCTTAGATTTTTATAAACTATCATCATATCGGTTAAATTCAAAGTTGGTGTCAAATGATAGTTTATGAAAATCTCAAATAGGAATGTAAAATCGGGTTTTCTCTAAAATTAACCGTTTTAGGTTTTACAACTTGTCAAAGTTGCAAAAAGTCAATTTTCAATTGCCAATATTTCCAAAACAGATGAATAGGTAACTTAGGTATAGAATATCTTCCATGAAATCTGCTCAGAATTTTACATAGAATCCAAATATGCAATCACATACAGGGTGTTCCATTTGAAATAACAAAGTTCTGTCGCATACTCAATAAACGGAGCACCCTGTATATTCAAAAATGTTTTTAACTAATGCATATTAGAGTATCAAACAACTTTGTGATATTTTTTTTTTCTGGCATCACCCTGTAAGGGGATATCGTCCGATATCGCACTAAGTGGACACCCTCTGTATATAAATCAATCTACGACAAACCCTCTTTTCCAAGTTATGACATTATATATCGATGTCATCATAAGTACAAACCTTCGTGAGATGAATTTTACCTGAAGTACATCAGAAGTACTCCCTCCAAGTACTAAAGAAATACTTTGAGTACGATGAAAGTATAATGCAATGCGCGACTAGAGGTATTTTATATTTTTAAATATTTAAAGTAACACAGACATTTTAGAGGCTGCTCGTTGGGCTGTTGGTTGATTTTTGACAAAAATTCCAAGAAAAATAATAAATGGAAATATTGTCATTTATATTTACGAGAAAGACCCATTATAATGTATTTGGAGTACAAGTACTTGAAATACTTCAGTTATTGTAGGTACCTACTCGCAGTTAAGAACTCTGAAAAATTCAAGTAATTTTATCAAGTACTTGGTAATTGGAGTACATTCGAGAAAAAAATTTACTTTGTACTTCAATTACTTCATCAAAACTTTAAGTACTTCTACTCCAAGTATTAATGTACTTGTTACAGCTCTGCTCATAGGTAAAACTTTGTACCTAACGCATACGGAAAGTGCCTTCACCGCATTTGTAAAGTGTCTTCACCGCATTTGTAAAGTGAATAAATACTTAGTAATAGCGGTACTTTACCTTGCCAGGATAATTCGAATTCTTCTTCACTTTTAAATATTTGTATTTTGTTTCCGCTACAGCTTTCTAAGCTTTTAGCTACCCTCCCTCCGGAAGCTAAAAAGGCAACAGATTTGCCACTTTTCTCTAGATCATTCACTAGAGACTCAAAACACTAAAAAACAGTCATAATTCCAATTCAAAATTACATTACCGAAATACCTTTTCAGCTGTAAAATCAATATTCAACATTCGAGAACAATCAATTAAAACCATTTGGATATTTTGTCCAGAATCTAGAGAATATTGGAAAACTTTTTCGCGAACGTATTCCGCTGAAGAGAAAAATACCGAAGTACTTAAAGTAATACTCAAATAGGGTTTCTTATCTTCGACCTGCAAAAACAACATTTTCAACTCACATAAAACACAAATATTGGAAAAATATACCTTTTTAATAATTATTTTTGGCCTCGAAGCAAAATACAACAGCTTACAGACTTCCATTAAAATACCTATAAGTATGCCTATTTCTATTCCAACAAACAGGCACGATATTAAAGTGACAACAAATGGAACCATGTCTAATTCTAAATAAAAACTTATTAAACATCTATATTATCAAAAATAAAAATCCCTCTTACTATTAATTTTCCATATTGTTTTCGTAATACTAACTTCAACCATAAAAATCACAGCACATATAATCACAGCCGCAAGGGTTGCTTTTGGAATGTAGGGAAAATAGGGAGTCAGAAATGTGAATGCCATTATTACCATTAAACCTACAATATAAATAATAAGCCATTTTTGTTTTACACATTTGGAATTTTACCAGTATAAATTCCAGATAATGGAGTCCTTACTCCACTTGCACTGCTCACAGCTGCCCTGGAAAATGACGCATTCACGGGATAAGAACCAAAAAAGGAACCAGCTATGTTGCACAGACCGACTGCTATCATTTCTTGCGATGCATCCAAAACTTTTCCACGAGCTATAATGAATAATTATTTTCGGTTTTTTGGCCACAAAAATATTACCTATACTTACCAAAAGCCTTAGCTATCCCAACATTAGCCAAAATAGCAATAAAAGGAATAACAACTATTCCATATCCCAATTCCGCCATCATTTGAGATATTTCAATACCTTCGGTATTGTTACTTGCTTCAATAGGCTTTATAGGTATTGAAAAGTTTGGAAAACCTGATGGTACTTGAGCTGTTAGCGAAAACGGTTTGTAATCGTGCTGTTTGAAAATAAAAGCAACCACAGCGCAGGATATAACAACCATTGCGTTTCTTCCAACTGAAACAAACCATACCGCTTTTTTGCACATTGAAGATGATTTTTCATTAGACATTGGTGGTTCACCATAATCTTTCAGCTTCTACAATATAATTGGAATTGATTCAAGAATCTTCTTAGGTATGAAATCAATCTTACCCTCATGGATAGTAGCACTACAATGCAACAAAACCCGAGCAAAGTGTCCCATAGGCGAACTTCTTCGATGTGCCAGAAAAATTGCTTCCAAACAGCTATGAAGCTTTCGGCATTATATTTCAGGCCGAATAAGTTTTTGATTTGGGAACATGCTATTGTTATGGCTCCTGCTGATGTGAATGCTGACACTACAGGGGTTGATACAAAGTCAACCAAGAAACCTACATGAAAAATAGTGTCATGTGTTTGTGTTGATATGCTTTCAATCAATTGAATTTTTATCAAAGTAAATTGATTTAAGTTATATCTATACAGAGAAGACCAGGCTACTAGACACATGGGCTTCAATAGGACTAGTTGACTTATACCCATTTCACTATAGGATCGTCATTGTGGCTCATTGGTCATCCCTGCATGGTACTCCCAATGTGTCTAGTTACTAGTAGGATGGTCCGATCTATACCTATATGAGGGATCGTTAAAAAACCTTTAGAACTTTATTAGTTCTAAAAGAATGAAGCTCGAAAAAAAAAATGAACAGACGTTCTGTGATGGTGAGAGCATAGTTCCAGGTTCCAGCGAATGGCATATCTGCTTGTAAAAGTACCTAGGATCCATATATTGTAGTAGGTACCTACATAGGTACTATCATTGATTTATTTATTTAATTGTTGACAGCCAACTCAAAGTGTTTTTATTATCAGAAAACAAAAATCATGTAAGGGCAAAAAATCAGAAAACATGACATCAACTAAAAATACAGTTGATTTTGTTGACTGAAAATAGAATGTCTTCTTCTCCAAGATACCTCTGGTAAGTGTCCTTTTTTTTGCCTGTTGGTCCAAGTTCTCTTGGATGAGAACTTGAACCAAATGATAAGTTATCAGCCAGCCTACTTACTTGGATGTTAGGACCTATCCAACTGGATTTTAAAGCTAGGTCCAAGTGTACTTAAATCAAGTACCCTTGGATGCTGAGCGTGTTATTTGGACGATACTTGGATTGTATCAACTGTTAAACCAGGTTGGCACGATCCAAGTGCAATTGGATGAGAACTTGGACCAATTCAGCTAATAACTTGGCAGCCAGCTTACCTATTTGGATGTTAAGACCTATTCAACTGGACTTGGATTTTAAAGCAAGGTTGACACGGTCCAAGTGTCCTTGGATCAAGGACCCTTGGATGCTGCGCGCGCTTCACTTAGACGATACTTATTGGATCGAAACAACTGTTAACACAGGTTGATACGGATCAAATGCTTGGTCCAAGTGCACTTGGACCAAGTAAAGTTGGCAGCCATCCACTTACTTCACTTGGATGTGAGGACCTATTCAAGTGGACTTGGATATCTTTGCTGCTTACATACTTTATAGCGCAATTAAATATCTTGGCATTTTGGCATTCCTACTTAAATGCTGGCAAACCTAAAACCTCCATACAGCAAGAAAAAAGAAGCAAAAGCTAGAACGAGAATTCATACTGAACGACTTAAATCTCCAGAAATAGGAGAAAGACTACGCCAAGACATAGAGTCAAGACTAAGTAATCTACCTATTAACGACTTTGAGGACATAGGAACATTCTGGGCAGGTCTAAAACATTCGCCTTATGAATTAAGTGCATCAGTTGTAGGGGTTACAGAGAACAAAAAAGATTGATTCTTAGAAAATTTGCAGCAGATAAAGAGCATCTTGGACACAAAAAACAATGCGTTTTAGTCAGTCAATCCCAACAATATTACAATACAAAGAAAATGAAACAGTCAACTCGAAAAGCGATTAGGCAAATTAAAAACAATTGGTAGACTGACAAGGCAAAACAAATCCAAGGATATGCTGATCAGCACGACCAAAAAAACTTCTTTGAATCTGTCAAGAAAGACTACGGTATTAGGCACCGAAAAGACTAAGGATGATAATGGCAACTTGATAAAAGGCCGAAACCAAATAAAAGATAAATGGAAAAAACATTATACAGCCGTTCTAAATCAACACTCAACAACTGACGACACAGCCATTAACTTAATACCGCAGTATGAGACAACAATGCCAATGGATAATGATATATCTAAGGAAGAAAATCAAAGAGCAATTGACAGCCTGAAAAACAACAAAGCTCCAGGTGCCGACCAAATACCAGCGGCTCTCGTGAACCAAAACCAAACAATGGAAAATCTAAAATCCTTTTTAAATTTAATCTGGACTAAGGGCGAAATTCCTCAAGATTTCCGAGACGCATTTATAGTTAATCTATTCAAGAATAAAGGCAGCGCTGCTGACTGTGGAAACTACAGAGGTATTTCGTTGCTCATCTCTATTGGCGAAGAAATTCTCGCAAGGGTTATGGCAACCATATTGTCAAAATATGTAGACTTCATTCTTCCAGAGACACAATGTGGGTTTAGACCAAACAGAGGTACCACAGATCTGATTTTTACCCTTAGACAGCTCCAGGAAAAGGCCTAAGAACAGCAGTCACAATTATGTATGGCATTTATAGATTTGGCAAAGGCCATTGATTCTATTAACAGGAACAGGGAAGCATTATGGAAAATCATGATGCGCTTTGGCGTACCTACCTCCAAGGTTCTAAAAGGTATGCAAGATTCTCCATGAGAAGAACTGGGCAAGAGTTATGGTGAACCCAATGACCCATTTCTAACACAAACAGGAGTCAGGCAAGGGTGTGTACTTGCCCCAGTTCTTTTCATAATGGTAGACACCAAGCTAGAAGTTCAAGGTATAGCAATTAAGTACCGATTTGACGGATGCCTGTTTAATCTCAAAAGGCTCAGAGCTAAGACTAGATCGAAAAATATCACCGATTTACAGTATGCTGACATTTGTGGTTTGTTGGCTGAGTCATCTGAACAACTGCAAATAACTCTCGAATAAACCTCTACACGTGGGCCTACGAAGCAAAACCAAGATAATGACCACGCCCCCAGTACAAGAAAACGCAATTATCTATATTCAAGGAAACGCGTTGGAGAACGTGGATCATTTCAACTATCTTGGTAGCATAGTAAACAACAAAGGAAACATCAATGAGGAAATCCAATATCGCATTAATAGCGCCACTGCAGCTTTTTGGAAACTTAGAAACAGAATTTTTGACAATCATGATCTTGCTATATCCACTAAGGTCGCTGTGTATAGAGCGATAGTTATTTCAGCATTAACATATGGCTGTGAAACCTGGGTGCCATACAGAAGACACATCAATGCTTTAGAGCATCTTCAACAGAGTCAGCTACGTCAGATTATGCATAATGATTGCATAAAATATCAAATATATAAGTACTCCAGAAAGCTAAGTGTAAAAGCATCTCAGACATTGTTGGACAATGTCGTCTCAGGTGGGCAAGTCACGTGGCTCGCATGCCCGAAAATCGTCTACCCAAATGTGGCCTCTATGGCGATCTTGCGGAAGGCCGACGAAAACAGGGTGGTCAATTGAAGAGTTTTAAGGATGTCTTCCACAACAATCTGAAATCTATTAACATTCAAGGTAATTGGGAAGATCTTGCGCAGGACCGTAATGAATGGAGGAGAGTTGTTACTACATTCACAGAAGACACACCAAATAGGCTGTTAACGAAACTATTTCACTCTTTTTATTTCAAATAAAACAAATGCACCGTAAGTTTGGCGACGTACGAGAAGAGAGGTGCGCGCGCAGTCCCGCTCGAAAGTCCTCTTGATTGGTAGAAAGGCAAGCGAGAACAAGAGCCAAATTTGCCTGTCCCAGATTTTCAAAAAAGAGGGCTGAAGTTTTATTCAAAAGACCCCAAACCATTTGAAAAACATTCCGTAGACGTCCCTGCCCCACATTTTCGCCTTCGCAAGGGTGCGGCCAGGCCCCTACCAAACAGTTTTCATCGACCGACCCCACGCACACAGACCCAAATGTTATTGTGGCGCCCAACGTGGGGCGCCACAAATGTTATCAAGGCTGCGTCGCAATTTTCCAGGAGAAAATTATTAACGTCCGGAATGTGGAAGAATAGTATCTTCTACAATTGGCTTGTTTAGCCGCAGGCGTACACCACAGAAGATAACAAAGACTTTAATATGTGGTTGTTAACACTCTTTTTGTTCATATATTCGGCAATTGAATAAAGCTATAGATACATACATACCTACTTAAATAGATAATCGATTCTTACCCAAATGCAAAATTCCACAAAGTAGCTCCAATATACCAGCAAAAAAAGTAAGCATAATAGCAGCTCTAACATTCCCAAAACTCACATTGTTTGTGTATTGAAAGGTAAGCAACGAAAGAAGAGCAGTTGGTGCTATATTCAGTTCTGGGATGGTACCAAAGATTGCGTAGACAATACCTCCACAGAGGGCAGAATAAAGACCATACTAAAAAAAATAGTTATAAGGAGTTTTTCATAAATTTTAGGATTCATTTTACCTGTGGTTCTAATCCAGCTAAAGACGCGTAAGCAATAACTTGTGGTATAAGAGTAAGCGCCACTGTGAAACCAGCAACCAGATCGCAAATCGCCGTATTTCCATCGTACTTTTTCAAAAAGTGCCAAATTGGAAGAAGTTTGGCCACAAAGTCCCAAGTGTTTAACAACATAATTATTCTACAAACAAAATTTACTACTCCAAGTACATAAAATAAATACTGAAATTAATATTATTGTTCCGGGTCGCCTGTTATCAATGATTCAATAAATGTTTTGAAAATTAAAGTTAATGACTATTGTCGAATATATCTAAAATTAGAACTGGTTTTTATCAAATGCACAATATGAATAACAAAAATACAATAGCTACCTGAAGCAAAATTTTCAACACAAAATTTCATTGAACTAATTACACGCTTCCAATCACAAATGTAGCCAGGAAGGTAATGAAATTTGTTTTTTTATTCCTTGATTGAACCGTTATTTTTATTACTAATTTTGCTTTGTTCGAAGAAATAACATTCCATAACAATGATAATAATTTTCAATGGGTTATATCTTTTATACCTTACATAATGGGTGCAATTTTGAACCTAATTTTGTAGAATTGTTGATATGACACATACTATATGATTTGGCATTCAATATAATATAATAAATTTGAAAAAAAAAACATGGTATTCGGGGATTTCCATGTAACTGGTCAACTATACATATCTGTATTTTTATATGAGCTTCAAGGTGAAAATTAATAAAGAAGCAGACACATTTGGGAAGCAAATAATTTAATTTGAACAATTTCAAGCTAAAATAGCAAATATAGCATAATATATTGTAGTTACCTACCTTCTTTAATCCGAAATTTCCATGCATGGAACTTGTCCAGTTCTAAAAGCACTACCTACATCACAATGTACATAAGTCAAACTAACAGAACTTATTGTTTCCAAAAAGTCTATAATTGAAAAATTACACAATCCTCATCAACAACTTCCGCATCCAATAAAAATTATCACGGAATTTTAAATTAAATGTGCTCGATTTTTTGATTTGTGAGTTTGCACACTGATGACTTATGCTTGCATACTAATTAATACCTTGCAAGCGCGGTCCGAAATAAAAAAAAGTTGTATGTGTGATTTTTACACTTGTTACAGGTCGATTGAAGGAGCAAAGCTTGGTATTGTGAATTTATGATTGGATTCCTAGTACCTATAGTTGTTGCCCCTTGTATGTTCACATCTTATGTTCGAAGAAACAATAGGAATTATGTACTAAGTCAATGTCAAGCATTTTTTCACCCAAGGATTATTTCATTTGGAATAGGGACTTGTGGTTTGCATCAGTATTCACCAATAACATGCGTTGATCCAGAGACAACTGGGTGAAAACTAAATAGAATTTTTCAGCAAGGTGGAAAATCCTGAGGAGATGGCAAGTGAAGAACATAAATTTCAGGATCGAAATAATAAGAATCTTTATTATCATAATCAATTTCTTCAATGTCCACTCTGTATATTAAATTTATCAATCTGTAATTATTATTTCAACCTTGTTACAACGAATACAACGTACCTAGAATTTTCATTGATTATGTTGACCAAAAGCTCAAATAGTTATTGCAAATATTTGTTTTACATACATTTGAAAAATCCATTGTTTTTCAAAGAATTTTAATTGAAAACATCATGTAAGGTATGTTACAGTTGTAAAGAAGAGCTTGAAAAAATGGAATATGGAAGCATTTATTATAGTACATTTTTTTATTTATTCAACCAATAATGTAGCAATTTTTTCTCGGAACCTTCGAGTCCAACTGAGCAAAAATTTTCAGGGTTTGTAGTCCTTTATTAGAATAAGATTCAGTGAAAATTTCAGCTTTCTATCTATAATAGAGATTTTTGAGATAATGGTTCTTTGGTATGCCCCGAACTCCATACACTAAATTATTCCGAGATTTGGAGCCGGATTCTATGAAAAAAGGCACTCAGAAAATGTTGCTCCTGCTCATTACCCGCGGAGTTTCTTAACTCATACAAAATTGTTACATTGTATGATGCACAAACTGGTACATATAGGATTAAATTGATACTTACAGGGAAGGTTGAGGAGGTTGTCAGAAACAGAATGATATCAGTGGCGTACACTCGATCAACCTACGAATGGAGATCCATACGAAAATATACAAAATTTTGCTCCCGCCCATTACCCGCGGGTTTCACTAACGCAAATTGTATGCAAATTTTGCTTTGCAAGTGTCACATTCAAAAGGATGACTATCCAAATATGTGACACTGTGTTCCATTAAATTGGTTTTTCGTTTAAATTTTGCTTTGCGAGTGGGACATCCAAAAGGATAAATATCCGAGTGCGTTAATTTGTGATTCTTCAAATCGCCATTTCTTTAAATTTTGCTTTGTAAATATCACATGCGAAAGGATAAATATCCGAATGGATCATTAAATGTTGCAAATGCAAAACTTTGGAAAGTTTTTTTTTTGTTTTGTTTATCATTCAAAAATGAAAAATCTGTATTTGCGCTATTACCCCTACTTATCGAGGTAATAGCGCAGCACAGTAACGCTATTGCCCCATATGACAAAGTAACAAGTAGCAATAGATTTTATAAATAAAACACAACATTTTCAAAATTAAATTCTTTATTTCCGAAAAATCAGTCGACAATTAATAAAACCTTACTAATAAAACTTATTATTGGATTAATTGCCGATAAACAGAAAATAATAATTCAATTTGTTTGACGTGATATCTTGGACAGCTTTTTTGAGGTCTGCTAACTCCGATTGACTTCTAACGTTCTTTTTCTTGTCCGTTCGTGGCATCTGAAATAAATTACTTTGAACTACCTACCTATCGACGTAGTAGCGCATATGCGCTAATGCCCCAACACGATAACTGCGCTATTTCCCCGATTACGTAATTTTTTTGAAAAGCTGCCAACTGCAACCTGATACAAAACTATGATAAAAAATAGGTTTGGTTCTGGACCACAAGGACATAAATTAATTATAACTAGGAGTGCACTAAATTAGGAAGGGTACTTACCACTAAATTACAGAAGAAAATATCACTAAAAAAAAACTTTTCTCGTGTAGTTTTACGAATAATTTTTTAATCTTAAACGATCGTGTTCACATTGACAGTTGGTAATGCACTGATCGGTGTTCCTCAATACCCCTCCTTGGGCAATAAAGCTATAATGCCAAGAGTCACAGGTGTCCAAAAAATTGAATCTGCGCTATTTCCCGGACTGCGCTAATACCCCAACCTCCCCTACATAGGATTAAATTCATACTAACAGGGAAGGGAGTTGTCAGAAACAGGATGATACCAGTGCCGTACACTCGATCTACCTACGAATGTAGATCCATACGAAAATATACAAAATTTTGCTCCCGCCTATTACCCGCGGGTTTCACTAACGCAAATTGTATGCAAATTTTGCTTTACAAGTGTCACATTCGAAAGAATGATTATCCAAATGTGTGACACTGTGTTCCATTAAATTGGTTTTCTGTTTAAATTTTGCTTTGCTAGTGGGACATTCAAAAGGATAAATATCCGAGTGCTTTAATTTGTGATTCGTCAAATCGCGATTTCGTTTAAGTTTTGCTTCGCAAATATCACATGCGAAAAGATAAATATCCGAGTGTGTTGATATGTGAGACTTCAAATTGCTTTTTTGTTAATTAAATCTTGCTTCACAAGTATTACATTTAAAAGAATAAATATCCGAGAGTGTTAATTTGTGATCGTTGAAATGGTTTATTTGTTTAAATTTTGCTTTGCAAGTGTCACATTCAAAACGATGAGGAAGAGAGAGATTAGAGATTAGAGAGATTATTTAAAACCAGTACATAGGATTAAATTCATACTAATAGGGAAGGGGGATGTCAGAAACAGGATGATACCAGTGCCGTACACTCGATCTACCTACGAATAAAGATCCATACGAAAATATACAAAATATTGCTCCCACCCGGGTTTCACTAACGCAAATTGTATGCAAATTTTGCTTTGCAAGTGTCACATTCAAAAGGATGATTATCCAAATATGTGACACTGTGTTCCATTAAATTGGTTTTTCGTTTAAATTTTGCTTTGCAAATGGGACATCCAAAAGGATAAATATCCGAGTGCGTTAATTTGAGATTTTTTCAAATCGCCATTTCTTTAAATTTTGCTTTGCAAATATCGCATGTGAAAGGATAAATATCCGAGTATGTTTTTGTTTAAATCTTGCTTCAGAAGTATTACATTCAAAAGGATAAATATCCGAGTGTGTTAATTTGTGATCGTTGAAATTTTTTTTGTTTGTTTAAATTTTGCTTTGCAAGTGTCACATTCAAAACGATAAGGTAGAGAGAGATTAGAGATTAGAGGGATTATTCAAAAACTGTACATAGGATTAAATTCAAACTAAGAGGGAAGATTGAGGGGGTTGTCAGAGATAGGATGATACCAGTGACGTACACTCGATAGACCTACGAATGAAGATTCATACGAAAATATACAAAATTTGGCTCCCGCCCATTACCGGCGGGTTTCCTTAATGCAAATTGTATCAACAGCGTAGCAACAGGAAATACATTTTCCTATTAGATATTGCTTTTATTATTCACATTGCCTTCAAATATGAGGTCATAAGGGTTCCCGAAAGTGAATACGAACATCAGTATGCAAAACTCGTTTTGCCTATCTCTATAAATTATAACCTTTATTTGCATAATGCTGACATCCATATAGGTAAAGTTAGAGCTGGAGCCGAGAAAAATAAAAATCAATGTCTATTGTAATTCCAATTACTTATAGCTTTTTCTTAACTGCTACTTACCAATGTAACTTAAAGCTTCATGCATTTTGGATTTTAAATTGGCCCTAGAACAATCAGTTTTTACTATTATTCAAGTTTCTCAACGAACTGTACTTGAAGGTAAACCTGAAGTTCAATGAAATTTACCTGAAAATATAATACGAATTTTCAAAAAACATGTAACAGCTATTTTAGAAATATTTATAAACCCATTCATTTTATGTTACATAAACCATTAGGTAGGTATATTAAGTATACTTCAGGCTATAAATGAACAGTTACCATAAATTTTACACAACCGGCATACAAATTAGCAACAATTAAATGAAAATAAATACATCACATGATGCTTTCATAAATAAAACCAGCCGAACGATTTTTTCTTTAAACCATAGCCAATTGAACCATCATGATGAAGACAACATTTTTCTTAACAATAATTGTGCTGTCGCTTACTTATAGCAACGGTGAAAACTGTGATAGTTACGGTGTGTTACTCTACGAAGAAATTCAGTGTCAGCCAGTGAAAAGCAAAGAAGGCAATTGCCCTAGTAAGTTTGATTGTGATTTTTCGAGACCGAAAAGCGGATGTACTTTTAAAGGAAGAAATTTCGGACCTTCCGAAGACATACCAGCAAACTTAACGTATTCAGGCTGCATGATTGGATGTACTTGTGAGGATTTCAATTTTATTCGATGCGCCGCATTGGACTGTCCGGAAAATTTGGGTGCCACTAACGAAAATTGTTACAACGAATATGAATTGGAAAAGTGTTGTGCTGTAGGTGAAATTTGTAATAATGCTACAACTATTAAAAATAATTGTCAAGTTGATGGTGAAACTTATGAAATAGGACAGCAATTTTATCCGAAAAATACTTGCTACAGCTGTGTGTGTAACGAAAATTTCAAAGGCGAATACAATGAAGAAAATTGCGTGAAGCAAAATTGCAATTCGCAAATACACTTTACAGAAGAAATAAATAAAAAATGTGCTCCGGCCTATTTCAATTTTCATTCGGACGAAGCTTTGTGTTGTCCGAATTCGTTTATTTGTCCCGATACTCTGGACAGTATCAAAATAATTAACAGGGAAGCTCATCAGGATTCTAGTTTGGAATGCCAATATGGCCAGCAAAAACTGAAGCTTGGAGAAGGATTCGAGAGGGAAATCAACAAATTTGGAAAGGATAGAAAGATGAAGTGCGAATGTGAATTACCACCTTTGGTTACTTGTAGAGAGATTTAAGATTATGTTTGTAATTTTATTGTAATATTATATGAAATATATGTTTGGAATCTATTCTCCTAAACCATTTTGAATTTATTTCTTTTAACCTACTAAAATTTTGGGTTTACAAACCAGTTATTGGGTGTGGTGGATTTCTAGATAAAATCTACAAGTGTTAACAATGGTATTCGGGCAACAAAATCAACAGTTATGAGACAATGAACTTCAAAAAAACTGCTTTTAATTCAAAATATTATTTTCACCTTTCTAATAGTTGATAGGTCATCCGTTGATAAACTTGATAATGGGATCATGTTTATTCCAGACGAAGACAGACTGGCAAACAAACAACTGTGTTGTTGTTAGGAAGATTTTCCTTATAAAACTAAACAAAGTGCTTAATATTTTGATAGTTAAGATGTTGAGTTTTAGCAGCATTTTCCTAATATTAATAATAAAAGTATGCTTAGCTACTGATAACTGCGACAACAATGCAGTTCTATTTTATGAAGATATTGATTGCAAACCAATAAGAAGTGATGAAGCAACTTGCCCCAACAGGTAATCAATTGAATTTGTAATGTAACAAAACAAACCATAACATGTTTCAGGTATGACTGTAAGTTTTCTCAAACTAAAAGCGGATGTACTTTTAAAGGAAAAACCTATCAAATAGGAGAAGGGATTGATTCAAATCTGACATATTCTGCTTGCAGCATTGGCTGCACCTGTACCGAATTGAATAAATTCACATGCGCAGTTCTAGATTGTCCAGAATTTTTCGGAGCACCTTTCGAAATACATCAAAATTGCCACCACGGTTATACATTGGGCAAATGTTGTTCCACTGGACAAGTTTGCAATTCTACTAAGACATGCGAATTTGAAGGTGGCACATACAAAATTGGTCAAAGATTTTATCCGAATAATACTTGCCTGAATTGCGTTTGTCACGAAGAATTTACCGGAGCAATAAACGAGAAAACTTGCATAAAGCATAACTGCAACACGCAAATTCATTATCTTGAAGAAATATTGAAAAATTGTGCTCCCGCTTATTTTGAAACGCAACCTGGTAAAGTTATTTGTTGTCCTGATGATTTTGTTTGTCCCAAAGCTGATGACGATATAAAAGTTGTGAATAGTACTAGTACAGGACAAGCAAAGGTGGGTTTTGAATGCGCTTATGGGGACAGGAAATTGAAGCAGGGTGAAGGATTTAATAGAAGAGTTAATAAATATGGTGCCGATAGGAATTTGCAATGCGAATGTCTCATTCCGCCTTTGGTGACATGTAAAGAAATAATCTCCTAGAATTTTTATGTGCAAACTATTTTATTTTAATATAAAAATATTATTATTTTTTTCTTGCTCTACAATAATACTTATTGTTACTTAGTCTAGTTTGAGAGAAATAAAATCTTTGATTAAGTATGTCAGGAGTCACCAACGATTGACAATGATGTGGCTGAAAGGCGTCTTGATGCAGATCCTGAAAACATAAAAACCAACTTTTGATTTAAGGTCATTCAATCCTATGTACAGTTTTTGAATAATCATACAGTCTCTTATGTAAATACAGTTTTGTATATTTTCGTATGGTAAAAATTCCCCTAGGAACAACCACCAATGACCCTATTATGTCTTACCTTTTACAGCCTTTTCTAAACTCCCACTCATAAAATACTCTGCCATTTTTCTATTATCACCCGTGCAAACATCGATTACAGCCTTATTAAAGTTCCAGAATACAATGCTTTGATTTCTCAATTGTAACTCGTCCAATAAATTTCCAAAACCCTAAAAACTTGAGAATTAAAATCAACATTTATATTTGAAAAAAATCTATACAATTGCAATTGTTCCATCGATATTCCTCACAAACTCCCCATCAATCACTACAATGCTCCTCTCCTGCTGACATCTGCTTAATACTTGTTCCCTCAAGTACTCGGCAGAAGTAAAATGCAATCCTCCTTTAGGCCTTATAATATAAACTGTGTGATCCCCCACTATTGTCCTTTCAAAGTACAACTTAGGCCTGGCATTATCATACAAAATAAATAACACATTTACACCTATACCAATAATTATACCGTATTCAAGACTAATGAGTAGAGAGCAAACTAGTGTTGCAAAGTATGGAATAAGATCCAGTTCTGAAAAATATATATTTTTATTATTTAATACCATTATGCATAAATATAAGTATTACTTTTTGTCTTCCACATAACCAACACTGCATGAAACTCGCACAAATAATACATGGAAACCATTATTACAGCTGCTAAAGTAGCCTTAGGAATATATTTAAATACTCCTGTTAAAAGTACCAAACTTATCACAAGCATACAACATGTAAATAAACCTCCTGCAGTCGTTTTAACACCTGAAGCATTATTCACAGCGGTTCTTGTAAAAGAACCAGTCACCGGCATCGATTGTACCAAAGAACCTGCCATATTTCCTATGCCAAGGGCTAATAGTTCTTGGGTAGCGTCTATAGTTTTTCCTTTAGCTACATTTATTATATTAGTGGATTAAAATGCTTAAAAAAATGTTTGCTTACTAAAAGCTTTCACAATGGCAATGTGTTCCAAAAAGGCAACCATCGGACAAAAAACTATGAGCGTCCCATATTGGGATAACATGTCTTGGAAACTGAAATATGTCCCGTTCCATGTCGTTGAAAAAGGTGGTAGGGTGAAGTTTGGTAATCCTCTAGCCACACTTCCTAGTGAATAATTTGGTAATCAAATGTGTAATTATGTAAGGATCTTACCTGTGAGTAAAAAAGGTGTGGCGTTATAAGACTTATCAGCCACATAGGCGATTGAAGTACCACCGATGACCGCCATAGCGTTACCAGCCAGGGAAATGAAGAAAATACATTTTCCTATCATGTTTCTTTTTCTGGACCATTCCGGTTTGTGTTTTAGTGAGCCAAACACTTTGATTTCCTAGAAGAAAATCTTCTAATATTTACTTGTGATCTTGTTATGCGACAATATTGTTACGGAAGAAAAAGGTCTATCGCGTTTATTCTGGATTTTGCAAGAATATAATACGGAAATATGAAGGCCGGTATTAGTTAGTAGTTTTCAAGTTTGAGATACGTTTTAAATAGTGATTATTGTTAAAGTTGTAAAGAGTTAAGTTGAGTTAATTAGTGAAGTAATTAGTGTCAGAGTGTGTAGTAACCTGGAATAAATTATTTTTGTGTTAATTAGACTTTGATGTTGGAATAAACGAACCCAAGATTCCTGTCACACACCCCAGAGTCGTGACATTGGTGTCAGAAGTGGAAGTCGAACTCACGCCCACCTAAGTAGACTGCGAAGAAAGATGGAAGTCTTAGATTTTGTGTGGACTACCGTAAGCTTAATGACGTTACCAAGAAGGACAGCTTCCCACTTCCGGCGATAGACGATACATTAACAGCTCTATCGGGCTCCACCTTGGATCTTAAGAGTGGATACTGGCAAGTGACAATACACAAAGATGACAAAGAGAAAACTGCCTAGTACCGGAACCGGTTATACCAGTTTAACGTACGTACTGCCTTTCGGATTGTGTTATGCTCCAGCTACGTTTGAGTGACTGATGCATCTTGTTTTGCGAGGCCTTACATGGAGAACTTGCCTGGTATTCACCTGACCGAATGAAGACCAGATACGACTTGAAAGCCGGATTTCAAGAAGGTGATTTAGTGTGGCTGATTAATCCAACAAGAAAGAAAGGAGTGTCGCCGAAATAGTTTTCAGCATGGGAAAGACCCTACAAAATCAAGTCAAGAGGATCAATGATTTGTTTTATCGAGTTCAGCGTAACAAAGAGTAAGATGAAAGTTGTATATCTGGACAGATTTACGAAATATCAAGGGCGTGAAAAGATCGGGACGATCAACCTCAAGAGGAGGGCAGTGTAGCGGTGCGCCATGGTGTACAGAATCCAACTTGAAATCTAGAAAATACTGCCTTATTCGGGCAAAGAGATTATCGCGTTTATTCTGGATTTTAAAAGAATATATAAAGGTTTGGTATTAGTTAGTAGATTTAGGTTCAAATTTGGCTGTCATACGTTTTAGATAGTGATTATTGTTGTAAAGAGTTAAGTTGTTTAGGGTAATTAGTGGAATAATTAGTGTCACAGTGTGTAGTAACGTGGAATAAATTATTGTTGTGTTAGTTGGACTTTGATTATGGAATAAATGGACCCAAGATTTCTGTCAAGCACCCCAGAGTCGTGACAATATGTATTAAAATTGACCTGAGTTCACCTGACTCGTACCTATTTAACTTTGACAAAGCAAGATATACTGCCACAAATATAAAACTTATAAATTTTCTGTATATATCATAAGATATTTTATATGAAGAACTACTAACAAGTATTTCATCTTTGGTAATAAAGTTCTGATACATAAATAAATTCTACTCACTCTGAAACCAAAAAGTAATGCCATCGACACAAAACCAAGTACAGCGTCCCATTTTCTAATTTGTCCAATATGTTCAAAGAGCTCCTCCCAAGCTTTCAAAAAACTACCAGCCGAACCTTTCAAACCAAACAAAGGCTTCAGCTGAGAACACGCTATGCTTAGAGCAGCGGCCGTTGTAAAACCAGATATGACAGGAACAGAGAAAAATTCAACCAAAAACCCTAGATGCAATACTCCAGCGAGAAATATGAAAAGTCCAGAAATAAAACAGATCAAAACAGAGCCAGCTGGTCCCATTGTAGTGACGCTTTTCTGTATGAATAAGGCTATAATTGCGGTGGGTCCCATGTTGATATCTTTGCATCCGCCAAACACGAAATAAGTCATTCCACCCATTATACCGCTGTAGAGACCATACTGAGTTGGTAGACCTTGAAAAATAATTAATGTTTTGAATTATTTCATTGCGAATCCAGGTGTCAATGATACTAACATTTTTTGCCATTTCATGAAGAACATAACTAACTAATTAGTAAGATATCAAAAGAGTATCCATTCAATGTGTTCAAGCCCATATTTCTCAGTGAAAAATGTTTGTTACATGACACACAAACAGAGCTGGGATCGTTACTTGAAAAAAGTAACGCGTTACTTTACAGTTTCTTTTGCTTAAAAATAACTCGTTACTTAAAATTTCCAGTTACTTTCGAATAATGATAACTTTATTATCGTTACTTATTGGAAAGTAACGCGTTAATCAATCGTCAATTTATTTGTAAAAAAGGTAAACAAATTGAGAGAACGCGTTACTTTCATAGTAACTAGTAACGCGTTACTTCCATATAAACGCGTTATTTTCATAGTAACGCGCTACTTTCATAGTAACTCGTTACTTTAACAAAATAACGATCTGCAGTTACTTCAGGAAAGTAACGAAATAACGAGTTACTGAAAGTAACGCGTTAAAGTAAAGTAACTATTTTTTGTCGTTACTCCCAGCTCTGCATACAAATCGTGTCTTCAATTATATCTATTTAACTACTCAAAACTATCAATAAGTGCTTCATTATTTTTGAAGTACCTATTCACAACAAGTGCAAAAAAATTGAATAGGTTCCGATAATATAGACAAAATAAATTATTATTACCAAAGGTCTGATCCAACCGACATGAGAACCGTTCTAGAACCAGTAATTTCCAGTTGCCCACCAAATTCTCAATAAGTTGAACGTTTATCCTACTCGACTGGAAGTTCATGTCGGTTGGAACAGAGCTTATAACGTTTCATTTCACTTTTCAAATTCAATTTCTAAAGCCAAGTCAAATTTAAGAGTCTGAACAACATTGTGCAATTTGTATTAACCCAGCTACAAAGTTATCAATAGTAATATAACTAGTGCAATGGAAATTATTGATAATTTTTGGGAAATTTGCCCGAATGCATTTTTAGTTGAAAAAGAGCACGAGTGCACGTAGTGCACGAGTGCCTTTTTCTGTTAAAAACGCATGAGTGCAAATTTGTCGAAAATTATAAATATATTTCCATTGCACGAGTTGTATTTAATGAGAGAATTTCATAAATCAAAAATTTAAATTTTTTGTCAAAAAATGTCAAAACACCAGTTTTCGCACTAGTTAGTATGCAATTATCTGATAATTTGCACTAGTGCAAATTATCGCGTAATTACAATCTGATTGGTTCAAATCCACAATCAAAACATGTCAATTTATTGTTGGGATACCAGTTTTGACAGATGTATGAAATTCTCCAAACAAATATTCACTTCTATGCGTTAGTTGGAGGTTTGATACAAATTACACTAGTGGACTGGAAATATAATAAACTCTCAATTTGATAGAGCAATAAAATTCAATTTCAATGTCTAAAACTTAAAAGCTACATAGAAGAAGTGAAAATTCACTGACCAGTGACCAATATGCCTTGTACCCCCAATTTACGTACCTTTTTTGATTGGCTCTTTTGTCACTTGCACTTGCACCTGAGGTGGGGCTTCTATTAAAGGAAGATAATATTTTTAAGTAGGTATTATAGAGCAAAAAAGTACAAAATGAATATCTAGATAAAATATCATCATTTACCTTTAACAGAACGTTTTCTCATTATTCAATAATAAATACAAAAGTTTTCAGGATTAACAAATCTGAATATCTAATAAGTGTATTAAGGACTAAGGAGGCTCAAGTCAAGTATGAATAATACATAAAATGTTACCCTTAATATCTAATAAATATCATTGTTCGCTAATCAAATGTTGGCAATAATCTTATCCCATTGAAATTCAATTTGATGGATTTTTATTGATGAGTATAATTCAAAAAAATATTTCTTGATAGATTACATATGTACATTTTAATAAACATATTTTTTGAGGCTTAACTTTTTAGCATGAAGTACCAGTAGACTCAAGCATCTGTAATTTGAAGTGGTACCTAGGTACCATTATTTCCAATAATTAAATTTTTGAATGATGTGAGTGAAACAACGTTGAGCAAAATCTATAGTGATTATATTTAATTCACTCTTTAATAGATTTGTACAAATTTATGTAAGTTATGTCTAGCCCCTGATCCCCGCATCACGGACTTGATGCAAAGGGTGTATTTTCAAGAATTTTTATTTGAGGCATGTAAATTGAGGAAACGCAAATAAGTTATACGCCGAGGGGTGAACCACTAGTGGAAATCATTGTAAATTTTTTTGGGATTCACATAGTAATCGATCAAAAATATATGGAAATCACTTGGGAGTCCTTGGGAATCGATAGGAATCTCCTGCTAGGACTCCATGGGAATCACATAGGCAATCGCTGAGAATTTTTAGGTAATCGTTGGGAATATCATCTAATTCTAACCCAGAAATCGCGTATCATAAATTTTAAACGATACAGCCTGCCGGTTAGTTGTGTAGGCATATGCCTTTAAGACAAAGTTTTAGGAAACATTGAGTGCTAGACAAGTTGAAATGAGTTTGATATCCCAACGACTTTCCCAATAACTGAGCCAATAACTGAACCCGAGACTACGAAGTGTTTAGAATATGAAGAAGAAGGAGAACTAGATTAAGATTAGGTCTGTTCTCACAGAAATCGCAAACCAGTCAGAGCCTTTTTGATTGGCGCAAATCGCCAACAACCAGTTTTCTGACTATGTTAAACCATTGAAATTCGCTCTGACTGCTTTGTGATTTCTGTGAGAACAGATTAAAAGTATGACGTTGTAGATCATAAAAATGAAAACAGGAATCTTGAGGCCTCTCTCGAATCCGACTTGCCAAAAGAAGACACAGAAATTCTTCACATATCAGGGTTTAGCAATTGCGATTCGCTTCAATTAAGTGATTATTCAAGGCTCAACTTTAATTTGGTTCTTTTCAGAGAAGCAGGGACGTTTGTCGATCGAGTATTAAGAGCTATGGGAATGTCTCTGAGAGAGACACAGAATAAAAAGTCAGGAATCCAAGGTAATAGGAACTTGAAAAGGGAAAGTATAATAAATACTAGGCAGGGCGAGAAGCAGAGATGATAGCACATCTGAATCAGAAATAAGTTTGTTGGGTGAAACCCTATAACTGAAGATGTTTCTGATTCAGGTGAACATCCTAGTTAAATCAAAGAAATATTCATTATTTTAGATCCATATTATGCAGTGTAGATATGCAATGCGGTATTTAGGGCTCAATAGCTATTTATACCTACAACAAAATCGGTGTGGGTGTGGACAACCATGAAAATAAGAGGTACAAATACAGAAGTTGCCAATTTTTCAGTGGAAACGTGTTTTTATGAGAGAAAAGACTGTTTATTTTGGTCATATGAATGCGAAGCTTAACAATTACACGTCGTTTTCGTAATAAAATCAACTGGAAATCGGATGATTGTAGGAAATCATCGAGGAAATCAGGTAATCAATTGGGAATGATATAGGAATCTCCAGAAAAAACGAAAATCATCACCTGGTAATCATACAAAAATATCTGAAAATCATTGGAAATCAGTCGCAATTCTTGGGATGGGAATACATGAGATTCATTGATCAGTGATTGCCAAATATGGAAATCATTGTACATTTGTAAGCATAGTGGTTATACCCACATACCTACATTGTATATCCTGTCTTGATTTGTATCACTTGTTCAACAAATATTCTTTAGAAATATTTTGTAATGTGGAGGTAGACTTTTACTCCTGAAAAAAGATTTTATCCTAGCTACTACATCCTTTCCAATAATTGTACCTGATTCAGAAAAACACAAATGTATTTCAGAAAACCTCACTTGTAATTCAGATTTTTCAAATATATTTCAGAAAATTTCATTTTTAATGCAGAATTCCCCAATTGCAAGTCAGATAGACAGATAACAGGATGTAATTCAGATAACAGTTATAATTCTTGGTCCAATATTTTCTGGGATGGTCCGCACTGGCTCTCACAGCGCCTCAATTTAAAATCTCAGATAATTTAAAAACTATGTAGGTAGGTACTCAAAATAAATGTACTTACCTACCTAAGCAGAAACCTATGTACAGGGTTATCCAACGAAAGTGCTTTCTACCTTATATACCTGTTAATTGAAGAGGTACAAAAAAATAATAAATATAAAAGTTGTTGGGATTTTTAAGCGGAATTAGGAGCATTTATTTAAAAAAAATGGAAAGGCGGGTTTAAAAAATATAGCAAAAAATTTAACATTTCTTGCTTAATTTAAATGGAATGACCCATTTTAGAATATGTTTTTGGATTCTACATTAAATTTGAGCCCTGATATATGTTACATGTCCTATAGTAAAATTTAGCAATTTTGGAGATATCGGTAATCAATGATTTTTCAAAATAACTTATGATATTTCATGGTTGGAAGCTGGTAAGAGTGGTAAGATCCCGTCTAGTCTTGTTTATTACTATTGTTGTTAATTATTATATCGAAAATGTGTCCAATATTAGATGAAATATGTTAAATTTTGTTTTAATCCAGCTTCACCTGGATCACCTTTTACCAAGGTAAATTATGTCAAAGGTGAATCAGGTGAGGCTGGATTTAAGCAAAATTTTGCATATTTCATCTAATATTCGACACATTTTCAATATAATGATTATAAACAATAGTAATAAGCAAGACTAGACGGGAACTTACCACTCTTACCAGCTTCCAACGATGAAATATAATTTTTTTCGTAATTTATATTGAAAAATCATTGATTAGTGATAACTCCAAAATTGATGAATTTAATCATAAAACATGTGACATATATCAGGGCTCAAATTTAATTTAGGATCCAAAAACATATTCAAAAATGGGTAATTCCATTTAAATTGAGCAAGAAATGGTAAACTTTTTGCTGTAACAACTTTTATATTTAACATTTTTTTGTACCTCTTCAATTAACAGGTAGGTATATAAGGTAAAAAGCACTTTCGTTGGATTGTACATACATATAATATAGCGTTAAGATTTTCTGAATTGAAAATGAGATAATCTGAATTACATTTGAAAAAAATCTGAATTACAAGCCGAGATTTTCTGGATAATGGACTTTTGCTACAATTTAAATTTAAGTAACTTAGAACTTACTTTCCGAAAATGTATTCAGTTTAATAAGCTCAGCCATATCTTCATGCAGGTCAACCAAAGATAAACCAAGAAAACTAAACTAATTGAAACATCACTGGATATCTGTTCACGATTACATTACATATTCAAAGAAAAAAATTATTTAGGTTTAAAACCAAGCAGATATTGTAGTTCAATGGAAATTTTTTTAAATTAAGATAATAAAGGGTTGTAAAGATCAAGGCTAACATAAATCATAAAATTATCTTATTTTAGTCTAGCCTGAAGAAGATTTCAATAATAATATCATAAATAACCAGTTTTGTGGTCACGCAACATCATTTTGTAGAAATATTAAGAGCTAAGTAGCATACTAGTGACGTCATAGATTATGATTGCGTTAGAGAATACCTTGATCATTCTGCCATTTGGCAACCAAGCAAATATTAAAAGTCAAAAAATAAATGTCACCTTTCAACCTAACATAACCTCTAAATAATTTTTTTGTACTTGCTTGGGAAACTACAAAATAATTTTTTTTAAAAAACGTTTAACCAACTACAAATATGCAAAGTGCCACTAGAATAGCAATAAGATCGTCCCTAAGACAATGGAGAAATCTACACAGAAGGTTTTTATTTTAGAAAAAAACTCGACTTTCACCTAACCTCACTTCCTTTTTAGTACTCCGGCAGTCCAAAGTGTCGAAGCCCAAGCAGCCCCGATAGCAAAACTAGAAATCCCTCCTCCTAGTGGCGTGGACAAACCAGTTTCAGCAAAAATCGACAAATTGGCCACTGAAATTGCTCTACTTAACTTAGTCGAAGTCTCAGAACTAAGTACATTATTGAAAACGAGATTAAACCTTCCTGATGCTCCTGCGTTCCCTGTAGGAGGATTTGCGGCTGCCCCTCGAGGCGAAGAAGACGAGGAAGCTGCTGCCCCTGCTAAAGTACAAACAGCATTTACAGTAAAATTAATGAAGTTTGATGATAAACAAAAAGTTGCCCTTATTAAGGAGATTAAAAACCTTATGGAGGGATTCAATTTGGTGCAAGCGAAGAAGTTTGTTGAAAGTTCTCCGGCAGTTGTTAAGGCTGATCTTTCCAAAGACGACGCTCAGAAATTGAAAGAAGCTATTGAGAAAGTTGGCGGGACTGTTGAAATTGAATAGAGTGTATTTTTATAGTTAATAGTAGATTGTAATGATTTTGTTTAATAAAATAATAATAAGATTTGGTTTTAGTATTACTATATTCTAGCATTTTCCCTCGGTTTGCTAGTTGCATTACTTACCATTTACTAGAAGTGGAGATTCAGTAGTTGTACTTCCTTGTGATTCAACTATTTCATCCATTCTTTTGTTATTGATTGGAAAACAATTATGAATCAGCCATCCTCAGATTGTTGCGTAAAGAAGCTATTTTTAAATAGGTCGATTTTCTATTTCATTTTAACATCAGGAATAAATAATATAAACAAACAAATTACCACAATTATTATTATATTTGTTTTTTAAAATAAGTATACTGTTTGTAATCGTTATGGTGAATGCGCCAGCGAATAAAGATGGCATGTGTAGTTTTATATCGATTATTTTGAAGAAGTATCGATATCAGGCTATGTCTTTGCTATTATATATTATTTATTCATTTATGTATGAAAAATACATATATTTGAAGTTGTAAGAAGTTTAAATCTAAATATCTAACCTAAAACAATTCTCTTGGCCCGCGTCTTGAATTTATCCTGAGATAAATTAAGGAAGTCAAGCAAGACCTTCATAGAACCTATTGACATTGGCAGATGTTCTATTCACAGGACGTAAAAGTAAATACCAAGTACGACAGCAAGGAATGTGCAGTAAAGATTTACTTCCTGTTAGCTATTTTGAGTGTACCTAAAGATAAAAGCATCTAAGACATTCGTGGCTCTTTTTGTAGTAATTAAGGATATTAAAAGCAAAACAAGACATCAAAGTATTCCCTTCTGCGAACAAGAGTAGTTAGTTCTAAATAAGTCATAGTCTGATCAACGCTGAGAATCACACCGCACCATTCAGAGACTGTATATTTGTACTGTAACGGCCGCCAGTGTGTCAAGAATCCTAGGCTGTCGAATACCCTAGAAATTACAGATTCCTATAATATAGTAAAATCTACTTAATCGGGAAAAAGGAGAGTTATCGCGTGTATTCTAGATTGTACATGAATGGATTTACGACTATATAAAGCAAGCTGGTATTTAGAAGTTTTAGGTTTAAGTTTGAACGATTTAAATAGTGATTATTGTTGCGAGTTGTAAAGAGTTTAATTGCTGAGTTAGTTATTAAAGTAATTAGTGTCAGAGTGTATAGTTAAGTGGAATAAATTATTGCTGTGTTAATTGGACTTTGATTTTGGAATAAACGAACAACGAACCCACGATTTCTGTCACGCACATCAAAGCCGTGCCAGTAACTATACTAGCAAACTTTGATAAAGGACCCCGCACATTTCTTATGGAAAAGTGATCTATGTGAAATTTTGCTGAATTTTTGATATTGTGTAGAGGAAGTCGTCCTTAACAAAAGTTACCATTGCGCTAATGTTTAATACCGAACAGTTTTGAAGATATCAATTAAAAACTTTGATAGCGATAGCGATTAGTGACAAATAAGTAGATAAACAAGTGTATAATCCAGGAATGACACACCTGGTGTGAGTGTGACACCGGTGCGACTCCCTAGCTGGTCAAAAATACTAGACGTTGCTATGGGCCCTTAACACCTAGCTCCTGCCGCAATCTTCAACTTTATGTCAGGTGCTTTCTTTTCAGAGCTTTGAAACCCCGGGCTTCGACGCCCTGGGGCGCATCAGCGCACGCTCTGAAAAGAACGGTAATTAAGCGACATATAATTATTTGACACTAGTGACAGTTCGGACACTGGAGCTGTAGGCTTCGACGCCTCGCTGAGGCGCTAGCGGTGGGAATAGACGACCCCCAAGGAGAATACAAACTCTTAGTAGTAGAGTCCGCGTCAGCAGTAAAGAATACGGTGACGACACGGAAAGCTGCGCGAAGCGGGTCGCATCTCTCTCCCTCGTCTATCTCTCGCTGTCTGCGGTGACCTCGGTCGTGAGCTGAAACCAGCAGCTGGGTATCTTTTTAGATGGATAGAAAATAAACTGAATAAATATGCCTGCTGGCCGTACGACAATGAACAACGTGCTTGGCGTTCGGCAGCAGCACTCATCAATACGATAGTTCGGTTAGTCTTCAAAATTGGGTTTGTGCGCATATGACGACACCGTACTCTTTAGTCTTGACGCGGACTCTAGTAGTGTATATCATCATTATATCATCCTTGGACGCTTGACTCCCCGATTAAAAAGAACGGTTGACACATTTCAAAATCGTGATATATGGCGCCCTGGGGCGCCCAAGCCCCTGAAAAAAAAGCAGCTGTCATGTCAGTCATATAGCAATTTCATTTGTACCTGTTGTTTCTTTTTATTTCTTAATGTTAAAAGGAGAAAAATATAGTCAAAGTCAAAAGTGGAAAGGATAGTGATACTTTTCGGTGCTGTGAGCTAACTGATGACGTCATACTGAAGGGTATCACTTTTAAAAAGTTTTTAGTGGATATCATCAAAACTGTTCGGGATTAAACATTAGCGCAATGGTAACTTTATTAGGCAATCCAACGACCTGTCCAAATGGCGTCTGGTTGGCAAATAATAAACAAAAAACATATGTTTTTATTTTGACGGGATTAAGCCTAGTACTCATAACTGCGAAATTCGCTCTTTTTTGACGTTTGATTCACACATAAAACGTCAAATTGTCGAAGCAATGTCAAAAAACAGTTAATTTCGCTGTTATGAGTACTAGGCTTTATCAATACTGACATCGTTGACATGTAACAACCCGTATTCTAACCTCATAAAAATTTCAAAATGCCGGCTGGTTGGCAAAAGTCACGTGGTTTGGATTCCCTAATTCAAGAACGGATCTAACAATAGTGATGTTTAAAGAATTTTGATGGGGTGTATACTTTTAAAGTCCCTATAGTAGCTCATCTCTTAATAAAACCCAACATTCTATTAGCTCTGCCAATCACCACTTCAAAATGCTTGGTGAACATCATATTAACCTTATCTAGATAGACACCAAGATCTTTAATGACACAAACTTCTGACAAACGAACATCACCTAAGCAATACTGAAAGGGAACCTTCATGGCCGGATTAAGCTTTCATTGGGCCCGGGGTTAGTGAAGTTTTAGGGGGCCCTTCATAAATTAAGTGCAAAAAAAATATACAGGGTGTCCCACGACGTTTTTCCCAGGTACTAACTTCGGAACGCATCATCCAATATAATTGAAATTTTGAAGATGTGGGTAACTTTTTATGGCGCTTCTACCATCGTCATCCAATTTCACCACTTTCGCTTCAATTTCGGTCAAGTGACGTTAAATTTCGAATCTTAAATGTAACTCATGGTATATTATGGCATTTTACGTTAGAAAATTAAATTACAAAATCGTCAATGCTATGTTTGTTAAGGCTTTGTTAAAGAAAATGATAAAAAATTATACAGTGGAACATACGTACGATGATGATGCGTGCCGAAATTATCATTTGGGAAATACCGCGTTGGACACCCTATATCATACCTATAATTATCTATTCACAATCTGATGTCCAAAGGTAAAGGTAAAATTTATCACCTTTCAGTGCTATTTGATAGGGAAAGGTGATAAATTTACCTTTATCTTCGGACTACGTATTGTGAATAGGATATACATGTTTTACAAAATTATGTCAAAATATCTTTTTTCTACTACCGCTATTCAGAAGACGTAAAGTTTCACTTCACGCACTAGTGCGTAAAGTAATTCACTTCACACACTAGTGTGTAAAGTAATGTCAATGACAGATGTCAATACTGTCAATTTAGTATTTTTCTGGTAAATTACTTTACGCACTAGTGCGTAAAGTGAAAATGCTTCATGCACTAGTGCGTAATTTGCGTAAAGTATTTGTCTAAATCATTTTTTTTGCACTTACTTGATTGGTAGTAGAAAAGTTTTTGTATGCCATACGTGCGTAAAGCACCTTTTTTCACTCATGTGATTGCCGTCAAAATTCACATTCGTGAGAAAAGGTTCACTTTACACACTTGTTGCATAAATAACTATTTTCTACTACCGTGCGTAAAGTACTGACCTTACGCCGAGCTTTACGCACTATTCAGAAGACATAAAATGTCTCTTCACGCACTAGTGCGTAAAATAGTTCACTTCACACACTATTGCGTAAAGTAATGTCAATGACAAATGTCGACCTGTCAAATTACTATTTTTCTGGTAAATTACTTCACGCACGCGTGAAAAATTTGTTTTAATTTATTTTTTCACACATAAGTATTTGATTGGAAGTCGAAAAAATTTTGTGTGCAATACGTGCGTAAAGCACCTTTTTTCACTCATGTAATTGTCGCACTCGCTTTTGGCTCGTGCGTCAAAATTCACATTCGTGAAAAAGGGCTCACTTTACACACTTGTTGCATAAATAACTATTTTTCGTAGGTAACTTAAATTTACCTAACAAATTCTTGTATGACATCAGTAAATTCTAATTCCTTCAGAATGTCTCTGTAGTCTTTCTATGCACATTAATGTTAATGAAGACGGGCGTTCCTTCTGCATTGTTGTTCTATATTTATTTTTAATTTAATAAATTTTGCGAAACATGACGCGAAAGACTAGTGCATCCAATATTTATTGTTTGTCCACGGGCCCTTGACCAGCAGAAGCCTCAATTTCGAAAGTAGGGCCCCTCCGGGGCCCTACTGGATTGCGGGACCCGTGGCTGCAGCCCCATTAGCCCCCCCCTTAATCCTGGCATGGGAATCTTACGGGTGAGTCCACGGTCCACTGAATCTTATACAACACTTATCAATGTTGTGGAACATGTCATTAAGCTGACACCAATCATAAATAATGTTAAGATCGTTCTGCAGAATAAGTATGTCTTGCGCTGACGTCACCTGACGATAAAACTTCAAATCATCAGCGAAGAGTAAAAAATTTGAGGAGAGCAACGATCCTAAATCATTGATAAATAAGATGAATAGAAGGGGGCCTGGTTCCGACGTTGAAATTTCTCTGGGAGTTATAGACAGAGGAAAAATAAACACCAAATAGATTAGCTATGTCAACACCGTTGGACGCTACCCAGCAAACACGAAAGGCAACTTCCAATTTTGGGGAATTCAAGTAGAAAAGATGAGTAGATTTTCTGCTGGAACTTTCTAAGGAGGTGTTGGACGTAAAATTACCAAGAAACCTTTGTGGTTTAATTCTTTCTGCCTTCCCTAACGGATAGAATATTTTTGTTTTTCGAAATTGGAAAAAAGTCAACTCCCAATTTTGGGGATTCCCCAATAAAAAATTGAGATATTCCTATGGAACTTCTTTAGGAGGCGTTGAACTTAAAATTGCCAAGATTCTTTTTCGGTTTCTTTTCGCCTTCTCTACCGAACAGAACAATTCGATTCCATTTTCGGGAAATCCAAGTACCTTTCGACGATTTTTTTTACTCCAAATTCCTGCGAATTCATCACGAATTCAACATTTTCTACCGATAAATATATAGACATTATTCATCAGCACCTGGTTCAATTATCTTGCTCTCATTCTTCCGTGTCAAGAGGAGAAAAAGCAAGGCCGCAAATAAGGTTCAAGTACCTACCGGATGCAAACAATACCCATTGAAAATGTTAAGGTTTTAAGGTGTGAAAAAAAGAGAACCATCGATTATTGAATAATGAATTATTTTATTTGTGTATTGATTTAATTATATTGATGGCAAATTATTTAAAGAAAAAAACACGGATACCTATACAACAACCTACGAATTTCACTTTTGTTTATACAGAAAAATGTCATGTGGGTTGCGATCACATAATAAAAATCATGGGTGTAGAACCCAGCAGAAATACACCATACAATACACACCTTTGGTCAGGCAAGAAAAATAAATTATGTATGACCACTATTGATTATTTGAGGTCATATTATTCATGTTACCTCTGCCAATAATATATAGGTACCTATGAATCTATTTATACAAAATAATGAATATGTAATTGTTTAAGAGGAAGATATAATATTTATACAAAGTTGCTTATTCCGTCATAGTTAATACGTAATAGTTAATTGAAAAATATCCTTGATTCATGTATAGGTTACAACACGGATTTTGCCTTTTTGGATTCTTTAAATTTATGTTAAAAAATGTACAAAACCACACATAATCGTTAATTTCTAATGTAAATTAGAATTTAAAACAAGAAATAGTACACACATTTTGTTGCGAAAACTCAATCGACGCCTATAGAAATCAAATTATTTCATTATCCATAATATAGATTTGCTTATTTGGCCTAACACTTTCTATTTCAATGTGTATTTTTCGTAACGTTTGACAAATTTGTAGACATTTTTAAAATTTCAATGAAGTAATTTAAAAATACCCAATAATGACTAAATCCTTTTCTAATAATTATAAGCGTTAAAATTTTAATCGTTTTCGGATATTCGAATCATATGATTTTCAAATTTAACGTGTTTTCAATCACCTTGTCTGAACAACGTCATTATACCACGCAGAATTTTTATTTCTCATCCTCAAGTTATTTGGAATTCAGGATGCAATATTGTTTTTTTCTGATTATATGTATGATGACGCAAAATTGAAATATTTTGTTGTTGAAATAATAAATTTTCCTGGAAGATAAAATAACAAAAACAAGAATAATATTTGCTTGAATCCATAAATTGGACAAAACAAATGTAATTCCTCATGAAAATCTTGAAAATTCCAATATTGACCGTAACCCAGTTACGTGATTTTTACTATGATGCCGATAAATTTTTCATTACCACTATACCTTTTTAGGGTTTCAATAATAATTGCATCTTCTTTAACTTAATAAAATTAATTGTTTTAATGGTAAGGTAGTTTAATGCAAGCCAATTACTTATTACCCGATATGGCCGTTAAACGTCCGTCTAATTTATTGTTTGGCACTAATTTAAATTTAATTTTTTCATTTTGTTTGCCCAACAAGGATTTATTTGTTAATTATAAAATGGAATTTTTGTAAAATTTAAAATTATGTATCCCAATAGTAAATGATTTGAGATCAGATTGATCAGAAATTATGACATATCGCATCAGATAGAAATGAGAAACAGCTACTCCAGCTGAATTCCGTATCTAAGCCAATCAGACATGTGAAATGAAGAAAAAAATAATTCGGAAGATTGGAAGAAACCCATAGATAAGTACCCATTACATGCTCTACTTACTAGTCACATTAGCTCAAAATAAGGCAATGAAAATGGAAAGATCCATGCTGCCTTTAAGCGATCATAGTAAGAAACGAAGAATCAGGCAAAAGAACTTATTGATAATGCTATCTGTATCATCGTAAAATTAAATAAGAGACAAAAGATGGACTAGAAACGTGCAAACAAAAACCAAAAGAAGACCAATTAGATAAGAATAATAAGGGTATCAATAGCAGATATCGAAGATTTTTCTTAAAAATACATCAAATCAGATAATTTACACCAAAAAAGTCAAAACACATTACATCATTGTCATGTGATAAGATTCATCAGACATTACAACACTCGAAGTTATCAGGACCGGACAAGCTGATGGGCCAGTAGGTACCACTAAGCAGTACCGACAACTTTCTCCACCTGATGGGGCTTCTTCACGTGGTACTCTGACGCCTCCGGTACCCAGCGGAGTCACTCAGACGGTCTTGGTCGACGGTCGCGGTCGTGGTACCACTTTTGAACGCTCAGCAGACGATATTTTAGTTAGTACCTTAAGACAAAAAAGGATTTTTTTTTTGGTTACGAAGATTTTGTGCCTGAGAGTGTTGGCTACCAGAATTACCATGGGACTTTTAGGGTAAGAATTGATATTTTTGTTGTGGACTTGATTGTTTGATCAATTTTCTTTTATATTTTCCGAAGTTTTTTGTTAATTTTACGGGTAAATAATTCCATATCCTCAAATGCCAATAATTATTGGTGCATCATTGTGGTTTTTTTCACTTCATTCTTTAGGTCCAACTATTGTCAATTATTCTAAGTAACGGTTTATTTAAAGTAGGTAATCAATTATATGGATAAGTAATTTTTCACCACGAAATTGAAAACTTGTTTGGGCACACCGAAATTTCACTTTCAATAAGCAAAGCAAAATTTTCGAGTAACAAAGCAGGAAATATCAAAAATTACAAAATACCTCTTGTGATAATCAAATATTGCGGCATCACTTTCACTAATTCAAAGCAAATTTGTCACCATTGGGTTTCTTTTTAAGTTTTGTTACTTAATTATTATTTAATGTTTATAAAACTATGAGGCGTGCCTAATTGATGGAGCCATTTATTTATGCAATTCATTCATGCCCAGCATGAAGAAGAAAAACATATTTTTTTTTTCAAAAGCCTTGCGTTTAGCAACATTTAAAAAAATCACGCTTATCACGATTAGTCATAAATTCACGATATTGCGTGATAATAATTTATTGGAAAATTAACTTAGGGGAGAGTCTATTATGGTATAAAATATTTAGTTTATTCAAAAATCACTTTCTCTCAAATCACAAAATCTAATATTTTTTCCAAAGCCTGTCAACATTTCAAATCATCATCAATTATCCAATTAAAAAGAATGTATGATCTCATACAAGCAACAATAATAATTTATCGACAAAAGAGTTTTTGTGCCATACAAGTAGAAAGTCTTCTTGAGCAATATCAAAGAATATGATCATGAATTAAATTTCCGATATTTATCTTCCTAGTTTGGGATAACAATCAAATTCTGGTAAAGAAAGGACCTTAAAGATGTCAGGAAGGAGAAACAATCATGATTTTTAAATCTATTGTCATTAATAATTATATTTCGTTATTGTTTTTTTTGCACGTAAGCCTGGTTCACCTGATTCACGGACGTTTTATAAATAAACAAAACGATTACGAAACGTCCATCCCCCAGGCAAAATCGTCGCACGTGACAATATCAACTTTAAAATCCGAAAATATTTACGAGGCCTTTAGGCGTTTAAATGAAAGTGAGTTGAGGAGAAAGCGCCAATAAAAATGTACGAGCCTAAATTACGTTTGTACACACGTAACATTGAGCTTGGAGAACTTGTTTTTTTTTCTATATGGGCGCTGCTTTTGATTCGAGTTGTCCGCAAATGCGGAAATTGTATATTTAGAGGATTGGTCTAAGAATTTTAGATCAAAATGTGCAGATATTATGGTTTGATTTAGACAAGTCTGTTACCTATTCTTGAAGGTTTTCTTTCATTGAAGGAACATTGATCATCAGATTTTTTGCTATCGTTTCCTTCAAAAGATCTTTAAATATCAGAACTTTCACAATCTTCTGTAAGTATGCTTTTTCAACCACACATTTTAGCCTAGTTAAGGCAGATGAATAATAACATCTTCATAATCAACATTCAGGAATCAGAACTAGGTTAATACTTCGCTGAAATACAGCTGGAGCATTTGCTAATCCAAATGGCATTCGTGTATACTCATAATGCCCATTCGGTGTAATGAATGATAAATCTTTTTTTTGTATCGCAAATTGTAAAATACAATAAACCCTTTTACGTATTATACATATATACCTTCAGGTTCTGATTTCAATTGAACAAATTGAGTTTGAAATTTTTGACAAAATTTGGACTAAAAGTCAACTTTGAGGCTCAATTGCTCAAAAACTATTTAAGCTATCAAACTCAATTTTACACAGATTTATAGAGAATTTAATGCTCTTTCCAATGGTATATAATTTATTTCAATTTGCTAAAAATGTACCAAAGATATGGTCAATTGTTCATGACCATGTCAAGATTTTGAAAATTTTCCAGAGCCAAAAAAAGGATTTTCTTTTTATTTTAGTTTCTGCTCAAAATGGCCATTTGGAATTTATGTCAGGGTTGTTTTCCACTAATTTTGACCCGCTCTATCGATTATTGACGTCAAAATTGAGCAAAACTGAAAAATGAAAAAATCGAGTTTTTCATAATTCTGATTTTTATAAATTCTGATTTCAAAATATTCAAACCTCAATTGCTCGGTAACCGTTGAGCAAATTGCATTGAAATTTCCAGCATTTGAAGCTCTTATTAAGTTCTAAATGGCCTGTAATTTACAATATTCCCAGATTTATAGTTTTTGAGCAAATTGAGTTTGAAATTTTTGAAAAGATTTGGACTAAAAGTCAACTTTGAGGCTCAATTGCTGAAAAACATTTGAGCTATCAAACTCAATTTTACACAGATTTATAGAGAGTTTAATGCTCTTTCCAATAGTATATAATTTATTTCAATTTGCTTAAAATTTACCAAAGATATGGTCAACTGTTCATGACCATGTCAAGATTTTGAAAATTTTCCAGGGCCAAAAATAGGATTTTCCTTTTATTTTTGTTTCTGCTCAAAATGGCCATTTGGAATTGATGTCAGGGTTGTTTTCCACTAATTTTGACCCGCTCTATCGATTAATGACTTCAAAATTGAGCGAAACTGGAAAATGAAAAAAGAGTATTTCATAAGGGTACCTACCCCCATTGAATTGTGATTTCAAAATATTCAAACCTCAATTGCTCGGTAACCGTTGAGCAAATTGCATTAAAATTTCTAGCATTTGTAGCTCTTATTTAGCTCTAAATGGCATGTATTTTACAATATTCCCAGATTTATAGTTTTTGAGCAAATTGAGTTTGAAATTTTTGACAAAATTTGGACTAAAAGTCAACTTTGAGGCTCAATTGCTCAAAAACTATTTGAGCTATCAAACTCAATTTTACACAGATTTATAGAGAATTCAATGATCTTTCCAATGGTATATAATTTACTAAAGATATGGTCAATTGTTCATGACCATGTCAAGATTTTGAAAATTTTCCAGAGCCAAAAATAGGATTTTCTTTTTATTTTTGTTTCTGCTCAAAATGGCCATTTGGAATTGATGTCAGGGTTGTTTTCCACTAATTTTGACCCGCTCTATCGATTGATGACGTCAAAATTGAGCCAAACTGAAAAATGAAAAAATCGAGTTTTTCATAAGGATAGGTACACCCTTTGAATTCTGATTTCAAAATATTCAAACCTCAATGCTCGGTAACCAATGAGCAAATTGCATTAAAATTTCCAGCATTTGTAGCTCTTATTAAGCTCTAAATGGCCTGTAATTTACAATATTCACAGATTTATAGTTTTTAAGCAAATTAAGTTTGAAATTTTTGACAAAATTTGGACTAAAACTTTGAAGCTCAATTGCTCAAAAACTATCTGAACTATCAAACTCAAATTTGCACAGATGTATGTAGAATTTAATTCTCTTTCCAATGATATATAATTTATTTCAATTCGCTAAAAATTTACCAAAGATATGGGTAATTGTTCATGACCATGTCAAGATTTTGATAATTTTCTAGAGCCAAAAATAGGATTTTCTTTTTATTTTTGTTTCTGCTAAAAATGGCCTTTGGAATTAATGTCAGGGTTGTTTTCCACTAATTTTGACCCGCTCTATCGATTGATGACGTCAAAATTGAGCAAAACTGGAAAATGAAAAAATCGAGTTTTTCATAAGGGTACCCCCTTTAAATTCTGATTTCAAAATATTCAAACCTCAATTGCTCGGTAACCGTTGAGCAAATTGCATTAAAATTTCCAACATTTGTAGCTCTTATTAAGCTCTAAATGGCCTGTAATTTATAATATTCCCAGATTTATAGTTTTTGAGCAAATTGAGTTTGATTGAGTTTGAAAATTTTGACAAAATTTGGACTAAAAGTCAAATTTGAGGCTCAATTGCTGAAAAACTATTCGAGGTATCAAACTCAATTTTGTACAGATTTATAGAGAATTTAGGACACTTTCCAATGATGTATACCTAAATTTACCAAAGATGTGGGCAATTGTTCATGACCATGTTAGGATTTTGAAAATTTTCCAGAGCCAAAAATAGGATTTTTTTTTTGTTTCTGCTCAAAATGGCCATTTGGAATTGATGTGAGGGTTGTTTTCCACTAATTTTGACCCGCTCTATCGATTATTGACGTCAAAATTGAGCCAAACTGAAAAATCAAAAAATCGAGTTTTTCATAAGCCCCTCTGAATTCTGATTTCAGAATATTCAAGCCTCAATTGTTCGGTAACCGTTGAGCAAATTGCATTAAAATTTCCAGCATTTGTAGATCTTATTAAGCTCTAAATGGCCTGTAATTTACAATAATTCCAGATTTATAGTTTTTGAGCAAATTCAGTCTGAAATTTTTGACAAAATTTGGACTAAAAGTCAACATTGGAGCTCAATCGCTCAAAAAATATTTGAGCTATAAAATTCAATTCTACACAGATTTATAGAAAATTTAATTCTCTTTCCAATGATATATAATTTATTTCAATTTGCCCCACAAAAGTCAAAATTTAATATAAGGAGCACTCTACTATATAGCTTTTCCTATCAAATGAAATATTCCTTGCTCCATGTAATGCAGTTTTGCATTGCACAGACATCAGATGTCCACAAACGACATTCAAGACGTCTGCTTACGTCTTCAGGGCGACTTAAAAGACGTCGTATGTCGTATGTACGAAACCCAACGTCTTTCAGACGTTTGCCTAAACACGTCTTCAGGCTCTGTATTGTCGTAAAAGTCAACTGCCAGAATCAAAATGTCATCCATGTAGGCCAGTGCTGTATTAAATCTTAATGATCCAAGAACTAGGTTAATACTTAGCTGAAATACAGCTGGAGCATTTGCTAATCCAAATGGCATTCGTGTATACTCATAATGCCCATCCGGCGTAATGAATGCTGTTCTTACTCTAGACTCTGCAGCCATTGATATTTGGTGGTAGCCTGATCAAGT